GAGCAGGGAGAACATCTGGGAAATGCTTGACCCCTCCACGTGGCTCCTTTCACTCTTCTCTCCAAGCGAGTGTTTGTGGGCAGGCCTGTCCCCTCTTGTCGCAGACGGGATGGGAGCAGCCGAGGCGGGCACCCCGTGAGCACAGCTGGCCCCCGTCGTCAGGGATCAGCGACCCTTTCCCTGCCAAACCCCCGGTGGCCTTGGCCAGTCCTTCCCCCTCCTGGGCCTCAGTTTCCTTGTGTAGAGAGTGAAGAGCGAGGTCGTTCCTTCAGCCCCCCCCCCCCATCACTGCCAGTGACTGCCAAACTGGTTTCAAAGTTGGCTGTTTGCATTTCAGTTTTTTTCAGTAAATATCATTAGCTATTAGCTATTCAGTAAATATCATTAGCTATCAATAGCTAAATATCATTAGCTATTACCTTCCTTTTGGAGGAAAAAACAAACCCCTGCAAGAATTGTTTTTAAAAGTTGCAGGTGATGAGGAGGTGTGTCTCCTGATGAGCAGCGACTCCTCTTGGACAAAGCAAGTCATTAATAAGTTAGGGAAAATCCCTGCTCTCCAGCTGACCTGTATAATTCTTCCTTCCTTTAAGGTCATTTTCTCCCTGCCATTTTTTCTTTTTAAGAAAAAGTTTTGAACAGTGATGCCCTTGGGAGAGGGAGCCCTGGCAGGGCTGGAGTCGGGCCGGTGGGACTGGGGACCGGTGACCTGGAATGGAATCTGTCACGCCCTTGGGTGGGGTCGCCCAGGCCACTGGCAGGCCCAGCTGTCACTAGAGCCCCCCCAGTCCCGGCCCCACCAAGCGCTGGTCCCTGGCGTAAATGTCCCCCGTCCGAATTCGAGGATGTTTGGGGTCCGCCCACGACCCCGTGGTGACTTTCCCAGGTAACGCCAGACCCTGAACCTGGCTGTCTCCCATCCCTCCTCCCAAACCTAATCCCAGTGTTGAAGTTCTTATAAAATGCTTTCAATGAATTCCAGATCCCATAGCTTACATCTTTTTTCCTTTTCTTTTCTTTTTTGCCTCATTTTCTTTTGGTCTTATTTTATAGTTTTTGTTCCTTTTTTTGTTTTTCTCACTAGCATTCATTCTGTGGCCTTGATGACGCCCGTGAGCCAGGAACTCGGGTTGGTATCCTTCCATTTCAGATAAAAATTGTAACTTTTTACGAAGGAGCGTCCCTCCCGGCGTGGGCAGTGCCCTTTCTCTGGGGGAGGCGTGGGAGGCTTGGCCTCTCTGGCGGGGGCATCTGGGGTCCCTGGCGGGTTCCAGACCTCGGGGCGGGGGTGGGGAGGACCCTGTGGGGAGCGCATTGTGAAGAAGAACCAACAACGCCCCCTGTTGGCCCCCTGTTGTATTTCATCTTGAAAAGGGGATTTGTGGTTCTTCCCTGAGGTTCTTCCCAGGTTGGCTTTAGCTCCTGGGGTGCCAATTGCCGTGGGGTCCACACCAGAGTGGGCTTCTGGAAGAGTTGGGGTCTGCGCCCAGGAGGCCTGTGTAGAGAACCCTAGCCCCTTCCCCACCCTCGACCTGGTTGTGATGCCCACCCCAGGGACCACAGGGGCGCCCTCGGGCAGCTGGCCTGCTCTGGTCCCTGGGTCCAAGCATCTCACTCCCAGCTCACCTCGGTCATCAGGCCCACCCTCATTTTCCCTGTTCCGAGCCCGCACCTTGGGGCAGGGGTCTGCCAGGCCCCCCAGTGTGTAGAGCCCTGCGTCCCAGTCCAGCCCAGAATGAGAGCTGAGTGAGCTCTGAGGGGTGTCCGAAACATCTGCGAGCCACCTGGAACCCCGGGCTGAGCCCTGATGCTGTGTCCCCACCTGCTGTCCTCCCAGGTGCCCTGAACTTGACCCCTGCCCTCACAGGCTCTGCCTGGTAGCGTCTGGGCCCCATGCCTAGGTCAGCGCTTGAACCCAGTGGGACAGGGTTAATGTCCTTTCAGTGTGCAGTGAGCCAAGGGACGATGCCAGGCGTCATCAGACTGGGGGTGGGAGCCGTGGGGGCGGAGTGGGGGGGCTGGAGGACTGACTCTCGGAGCCCTGGACGCAGGGGGCGCCCCTCAGGGGGCTCAGCTGGCAGGCCCAGCTCAGCAGTCTGAGCAGGTGGGGGCATGTGAGCCAGGGGCCCCTCCCACTGTTCTAACCCTTGGTTCTTGAGTCCTATCAAATCGCTTTTGATCCCACAGGATGGAAAAAGAGCGTATGGAATAAACTGAGTCCCTGTGGCAACCCCAACCCCACTCAAACCAAATTCAACAGCAAAACAAGCTGCTCCAAGCCCAGAGCCTGAAACCAGAACTCACAAGCACTTGACTTTGGCACGAAGGGGAGGCCTTCGGGTCGAAAGTGGGTCCTGGCCCGGCCGAGCCCCAGGCCCTCCGCAGGGGCGAAGGGGAATTTGTCAACTCGAAGCCACACCTGAGTCCCCACCGAGGTACCTTCCTGAGCGTGGGGGGCAGAGACCTGAAGACCAGGAAACTAAGTGCAATTAGCAGAAGCTGAGTGATGGGCAGTGACCACACTCTCGGGGGACGGCCGGCGTCCCTGCGCCGTGCACCTCCCCTGGCCAAGGAGTGCGTGCCCAGCGGGGTGCAGATCGTGTACATATGTCCCTGAGCTGTGCCCTGTGCATCCAGAGTGACTTGCAAGGGCCCCTGTGGCCTGAACCAAAGTCCAGCCCCAGTCCCCAAAGCCTCCAGATCTGCGTGCAGCGGACTCAGCAGCTGATGGCCAGAGCGGGGGCGGGCGGTGGGCTGGAGCCTCGCCCTCTGCGGAGGGCGGACCTCAGGGAACTTAGGTGTCCAAGGGAAAGCTGTGGGTTCTATCGCTGTGATGGTGTGACCTGGAGAAACTCCCAGAGGGTGACAGTGCCTGGCGCCGTGTGGAGTGGGGACTGGGAGGTGGACACGGCCCCCCCTCTGCCACACCGGGGCTGTTTTGCATCTTGATTTTCATTGGCAAGAGGCTGCGGATGAAGAGATGATGGGATGTGGAGTGATCCCCGGAGGGTCTGTGGCCTGAGACCAGGTCCCTCTCTGACGGCCTCGGTGAAGAAGGCCGCTCTCCCTGACCTCGGGGGACCAGCCCCTGAATCCAGCCCCCCAGGAGACGGGACAGAGTGGGACAGCCCAGGAGGCAGGGCGCCGTCTGGCGAGAGCAGAGTCCAGGCAGGAACCCTGGAGAGGCTGCCTTCAGTGTCGTAACTATGGTTCTCCTGGGGCGGGCGGGTGGGCTTTTCCGGAAGAAGGTGCCTGCTCACAGGTCTGTTGCCTCCCGCACTTCTGGAAGGGAGACTTTGGGAGTCAGACCAGACCCAGCGAACTAGAGGGCGAAGGGAAGGACGGCGCGTCTGTGTTGGACAAGGCAGCTGAAGGCCATTCCGGGTGACCCAAGGACAGAGAGTCCCCGTTCGGTGCCTGGTGGCCTGCGAGAGCCATCTCTGAGAACACCTGGTGAGAAGAGCCGTGGAGAAAACTAACGGGACCGAAGTGCAGGCCGCGGGAGGAGTCAGCGGGCAGGGAGCCCAGCGGCACAGCTTCAGGCCCGCAGAAGGGGGAACCCGAGGGGGGGGAAAGGGCGTGTGAACGGGCACAGAGAGGGCGTGCGGGTCAGGCGGGGAGGGGTGTTCCAGCCAAACCGAAGGACTGGGGCCCGGGGCAGACGCACCAGGCAGCTGAGAGACGACCCTTCTCTTTTGAAATCTAAACCCAAAGCACCCGCCTCACCAGCCTCCAGGACTTGCCAGCATTTAGTGGCCAAACGTGAATGAGCCAACGCCAAACCCTCCAGGTTGGGGGGGGGGGCACACATCGAGGGAAATGACAAAAGCACATCTGCTTTCTCTGGGGCCAAGGACGCGGGAGACACCGCTCTGCTCCGGGTGTCCCCACCCTCCCTGCTGCTGGAGTATGCAGCAGCGCGGTCCTCATGTCCTCCCGTGTCCATCCTTCCGTCTGCTCACCTGCACACACAATACAGCTGGAATGGCCTGGACTTGAAGTCACGCCATCCGGCTCCACTCCCAGCCCGGACTCCTCCCTGCCGTGGACGCCGGCAGAGTACTGGCCACTCTGAGTCTCCGGCTGCGGGGTCGGGGGTGGTCCCCCTGTGGTGCCTCACCAGGGGCCTCTTTGGGCACAACCCTGGGCAGACCCGAGGGTCTCCCGAGCTCCGGCGGGAGACGCGGCAGGTGCACGCGCTGCTCCCTCAGTGGGAGGGGTCCTCAGAGGGACCATACAGACCACCAGGACCCGGGGCCACTCCCTGAGACAGCTCAGATGTGAGGGTGTGGGGGGCCCGCAGGCAGGTGTGGGAGCTGCCCTGGCTGAGAAGACCAAAGTCCCCAACAGGAGCCAGCATTTCTCGTGACAGTCGCAGACATGGCTTCCCAGGGCCCCTGCCAGGGACAGGCCGGGTTCCAAGAGCCATCTTCTCAGGGCAGCTCTGAGCTCTGGCAGCCGCAGCCCTCCTGGCCCAGGTGAGGTGCGCCCCCGGGGGGTTGTTGTGGTGGTTGCCTAGTAACACAGCCGATGGTCATGCCTGTGTGTGTGTGTGTGTGTGGTTTCCTGGGGAGCAGAGCTACAAGGTCAGCTGAACCCAAGGTCACTTTCTCACGCAGAAAGGAGGATTGGATCTACCCTCCCCCACCTGCCCCTCCCTGCAGATCTCCTGGGAGGGGGAGAGGAGGGCCCTGCTGGGTTCCCGGCACAGGACCTGTTGGTCACGGTGCAGCTAGCACGCGTGCAGTGGCTTCTGCACCCTCACACCTGGCCGCTCGGCCAGCGAGGAGCCGGGTGGCGGAGGGCAGGGTCAGGTGGCCCATCGAGGGGGCTGTGGTGACTGGGAGCGTGAGACATGGCGCCTTGGCTTGAGCCGGCTCCTCTCTGAGCAAGCTCCCGGTCTGTCCTCATCCTGCCGTCCTGCGGGCCGTGGGTCTGGGGCCCATGGCTCCTGCTGGTCCCTCCACTCCCTCCCGGAACCGGCGTGTGACCTGCAGGAATCCCACCTATTTGTTTTGTTTATTGTCCCACATTTAACCAGAACCTGCCAGAGGCCTGCCAAAGACGGTCCCCATCCTGAAGGTTGTCTCAGAACTCTTGGGGGCTTCTGCAGACCCCAAACTGTGCACCCCCATTCCAGCCCTGTGGTAGGGCGCCACTGCAGCCCCTCCCCCTCCCTCTGTCCTGCTGCCGTCTCTTTGGGGCTGTTACATTTGAACCCTGACTCTGCCCCTTCCCATCTCGGGGCTGGGACAAGCCACCCCCACACCTCCCAGAGCCTCTCAGTGCCATCATCTGTGGAATGGGTTTGCCGATGCCGACCTCTGAGGGTTCCCAGGGAGTGGGGCGAGGTGGGTGGGAGCCGCCTAGTGAGGGGAAGTTCCCTGGTGAGTTTGCTGCACGGGAAGAGCTGGCGTAGGCCTCATTCTCACGGGTGTCAACTGGCGCTTCGCTGCTGAGACCCCGTGGCTCACCAATGGGCCTGCCCGGCGCTCCTTTTTACCTCCCTGGATGCAGTGTTCGGCCTGTAACTCCAAGTGACTTCCCGGCGACACCGTCTCGCTCTGGGTGAGTGCCGGCACGCTGGCCTGCAACCCGAGAGGCCCTCATTCACATTGCATGACGTTTGTGCCCGAGACACCCGAGCCCCGACTCATAAATAATCCACCTCTCCTTGCCCTCCCCAAGGGACGTTTTCCTGCGCAATCTGAAGGCGGTGCACCCACCGTGAAACCTCCGAGAGTCGATGCCGTGAATTCACTCAGTTTCGTGAAGTCTTGACCCGTGAACCATGCGGGGATGGAGCCACCAGCCACAGGACGCTCCGAGAAGACGTTCAGCTATGTCGTCAGAGCGCCCAGCAGCGAGGGGTTTGATGTCATGAACGTGGACCTGAAGATCGACACGGCCTGGGTCTTCCGGGACGCAGAGGACAGTGATGAGGAGCAGGGGTGTGTTCCTGAGGCAGCCGCTGGGCGGAGCCCAGACGTGGACACGGGGATGCTCAGGAGGCAGCTGGAGGCCTCGGAGCAGAAGCTGCTGGCCGCTGTGGACAAATACGTGAGGTCGGAGTCTGGGCTCAGGAGCAGGTACGTAGGCGGCCTGGCCCGCTCTGCGTATTTCCAGAATCCTGGGGCGTCAGGCCCGTGTCGGGAGGGGGTGTTACTCCTGTCTGTGGCCGAAGACGTGGGCTCCCCACCTCACATAACCTGCCCGCCTCGCTTCCTTCCCTCTGTGGCCCGGGGGCGGAGCCTGCAGGCAGGTCTCCCAGGTTCGCTGGCCTCCATCTGGGCCCGGGTGGTGGGCAGTCGGAGGGAGGAGGATGAGGGAAGCAGGGTGTTCTCCCCTCTCTTCTGCCCTGGTGACATTTCTTCCTGTGGCTACGATGTGGTCACACTCCTGGCTTCCTCTGTGGTCCTGCTCCTCCCGAGGGTGGCCCGACCCCAGGGATCTGGTGGCCCTCGGCAGCATCTGGTTTCTGGCTGCCGGTCATCTCTGTCTGGCCGTCAGCTCACCCGATGCCTTTGCAGCAGGTTCTTGGTACTCGTTTTGTGCTGCTGAATCGGAATTCCTGGCGAGGGCTGCTTTCCTGATGGAACCATCGTGGCCCAGAGGTTGGGCATTGAACCCAGGTCTTTCTCCAAAGCCTATGCTCTCTCTGTCAGTCCCTTGTGGGTGCTGGGCCCCAGAACGGTGAGGCAGAGGAGGACCCCAGCATGGAGGTGCAGGGTGGTTAGGGCCGGGGTCGGTTCCGACTGGTCTACCGACGTCCCAGCGGCGGCGTCTTGGATTTGTCTGGGACGGTGCCATTTTTTTGTACTTCCCTTCATTTTAATGAAGGCCAGTCACTCAATGTATATTTCCCTGTCCTTTACTTTTTTCCTCTTTGTAATACTTTTCACATGAAGAAATTCATATATCGGAACAATTATTTTGTTATTCTGTGGGTCAAACTGTGATTGTCCGTCTGTCCATCCATCCTTCCACCCACCCACCACCCACCCACTCATTCCAAACCTGCTCTCACCGCCCCTCCCCCCAGAGTCACGTGTTGATTTGGGTTAGTTTCCTGCGATGATCATGACCCAGTTTCACAGGCCGAGCCGCTTAAACAGCAGCAGTCGTTTCCTCACAGTTCAGGCGGCTGGAGGTTCAAGATCGAGGTGTGGCAGGTTGGCTCCTTTCAAAGCCTCTCTGGGTGATGGGCGGCCCTCTCCTCCCTGTGTCCTCGAGTGGCTGTCCCTGTTTGTGTGTCTGTGTCCCAGTCCCCTCTTCTTATAAGGACATGAGTCAGTTTAGAGGAGGGCCGACCCGAGTGACCACATTTTTCCCTAATTGCTTTGTCAAGATCCCATCTCCAAATACAGGCCTCTTCTGAGGCACTGGGGTTCCGACTTTAATGTATGAATTTGGGGGGCCCGTTCATCCACTGACATGAGTCCCGGGGGCTGAGAGCTGGGGAGCGAGGCGGGCTGCGGCCCTCACACGGCTGTGCGTTTGGGTCTTCTTCCAGAGAGGCTGCCAGTGGGCACCAAAGGTCCACGGGCCTGGGGCAGGTGCGTGGGGAACCGGGGGCACAGAGCCGGGGGCACCGTCTGCCATGCAGAGGCACGGCCTCTGTGGCTGGGGCCTGCTGCGGGGAGGCTACCCTGGGCATGCCACCTGTGGGGACATGCGGGCCGTGTCCTCTGCTCTCTGCACTCGGGGTGCACCCCCAGCGCGGGACTGGAACCCAGGCAGCCTGCCGAGAACAGCAGCCACAAGGGGACAGATTCGCCCTGTCCCGGAGGGTGCCTCCCAGCTCCAGGCTCTCTCTGCGGCCCTGCCTGGGACGCTTTACGCTGGTGGTGCATCCGCGAAGTGCCGTGCCTCTGTGTCTCTCTCCTGTCTGCGGTGTGTTCGTTTCCTGTGGCTGATGAAACATAGGAGCCCGGCCTGGCGGCTCAGACAGCAGGCGGAGCCAAAAGTGGCCTCCCCGGCCGGAGGCAGGCGTGGGCGGCCGAGCTCTCACAGGCCTGCTGGGGGCCTGTCCCGGCCCCTCAGTGTCCACAGTGGGGGCCCTGCCTCTGCGGTGCTGGTCGCCTATCGTCTTGCACGGCCCTCGCCTCCCTCTCTGGAGGACAGCTGTGGCGGCAGCTCGGGCCCACCCAGGTGGTCTAGGGTCATGTCCAGCCACACCTGCGGTCCCTTGTGCATTGGAAGGGGACACCACTGGGTCCAGTGGGCGGGCTGCTAGGCTGCCTGCCGCGGTGGGACTGGTCGTTTTCCGTGTAGTTTAAGTTCAGGGACAAGGTCAGCATTAACCCCGCTCACGGTCAGTGTTCCAGGTCGGTCTCGGGAACTAAAGACAGGCTTTTCTCGTCCCGTTTTGGTGTCACTCCTTGTTGTAACCAGTCAACCTGACTCTGTGACCGGTGGGTCTGGAGCCACTGCCTGCAGGTTTGGAAGGGGCTCGACTGTAATCTACACTCCCCTGTGTCACTTTGCAGGCCCTCGCCTGGGCCTCAGAGCGAGAGGGAGAGGAAACGCTAGGCCGTATTATTAACAATAGTGCATCACTTTATTTCTTCTTCACAACAGTCTTCTGAGCAAAGTCACCTCTGCTTGTCACAGATACAGGTACTGAGGGTCAGAGTGGTGAGTGAGCCCGATTTTGGCTCCATGGTTGGTAAGGGGCAGAGCCAGGGGGCAAAGCGATGTCCCCTCCCAGGGAAGCTGGGTCTGTCCTGGGTGAGCAGGTGACCCCGTGGACCTGGGGAAAGGTGTGACGGTGGGCGGACCTGGTCCACGTAGGCCGGGAGTGCACTTCCCCTGTGTTTTCTGGTTTCTGTTCTGGAGGGGGGTTGGCACAGTAAGGAGATTTGGATGCTAGGAGACAGGGAAGTGCTGGATGCTCTTCTCTCCCGACGGGACCGGAGCCAGACTTCCGCTTCCGGCCCCCACATTCATGCTCCCCCTTTCTGCATGGCCGCGCCCGAGCTGCTGCTGCTGCAGCCTGGGGCTCAGCCTCACGCTCCCCAGGAAGTTGAAAAGGCCTTCACGGGGCTTGGCTGTCCAGTTAGACGTTAGGTCATTTCCAACGTCCTGCTGTCATTCGTGGTGCAGATTAGTTTAACTGCCGGGAGATTTTTTTCTGAATTTCGGTTACCTCCTCAGAAGAGATTCGCGGGGATGTAGCTCAAATGGGGAGCAGCGGGGCACGGGGTGAACATTGTGAGTGTGGGGCACAGACAGTGTGCGCTCTGTGATGCTGTGTGTCCTTGGGCCAGTCGCCTGGCCTCTCTGAGCTTCAGTTTCCTCCAGGGCTGGTGAAGGGAAGAGTCAAGGAGGAAAATGCAGATGTTTGCCTCAGGCTCAGTCCTTAACTGGTATCACCCAGGCTCGGGATACTGGCTTAGAGATGAGGGTACTGTTACGATTTCTAACTCATGCTGCCTCCTTACTCCAAAGAGGTCTTCGAGGTATTACAGGTCATCCTTAGAAAGATATGTGTGACTGTTTCATAAAATGTAACTGTCAAAACCTTAAATTGGCCAGATGACAACAAAAAAGGTTGCCCGGTGTGATGTGTGAAACCTTCGGCAGAGTGTACTGCAGCCCCACTAAGCGCCGCCTGCCTCCCGCTGCAGAATCCAGGAGCTGGAGCTGTCGGAGCGGAGGCTGCTGCAGAAGGTGGACCAGCTGCGCGCCCGCGTGTGCCAGGAGCAGAGCGCCTCTCTCCGGGCCCAGGAGCAGCTGGAGGTGCTGCAGGGGGAGCTCGCCAGCCAGGTGCGGTCCCTCCTTCCCTCCGGTGTGGGTTTCTGGTCCCAGCAGGGACACCCCTGGGTTTGGACAGTTAAGCAAATGCAGTGGACTGGGGAGGGGTTGCCGGGAGAGCCCTGCGGGGCCTGGGGCAAGGTTACGTGGCCCCTCTGGTCCTCAGCTGCCCCATCTGTACAGTGGGATCCCCATCCTGCTCTGCCTGCCTTACGAGGCTCCTGCAGGGACCCGCTAGGGGGTGTGAGAGCACTGGGTGCCCTGTGGGGGGCTGTGTGCTCACGGGGAGCTCTGGGCAGAGGCCATTTTCGTGGTCTGTGGGCCAGGTGTCAGGGAAGCCAGCTCTGGCCTAAGGACAGGGAGGTGATGATGCAGGGTCACCGCCTGAGGAGCTGGAGTGCAGGTGGGAACAGAGATGGGAAGTGGGGAACTCTAGTCTGGATGCCAGCGTCGTGAAGAGGGGTGCAGGCGCGATGTGTGTGTGCCCGGGTGGGGGAGTGACGGAGGCCTGGGCTGGGAGCATTGAGCTTGGAGGGGAAGGTGCGGTGGCTGCCTGGACCCAGCAGAGGGTGGGGGTGGGGAGAGGCAGTCGGTGAGACGGGAGGCTTCCAGAGGAGCCAGACCGCCAGGGCCGCTGCACGGACCGAATCCCGAGGGCGACGGGGAGCGGGCTTCAGGGGCTCAGGCCAGGTTCAGGGACGTCAGTCTGGGTACATGGGAGAGAGACAGCCCAGATGAGACGGGGGCGGGCTCTGGAGGCAGTTGCCTGGAGCCAACCCGGCTCCCCCGCTCACCAGCTGTGTGACCCAGGGCCAGGGGCCCAACCTCTCTGGGCCCGAGTTTCCTCATCTGTGAAAGGGGCGCGATCTAGTACCAACACCCTCAAACTGTTGTGTGTTCAAGTGAGTTAATACGTGCAACGCCCTCACAACAGTGGGCTTGCAGATAACCCTGGCCGCTTCTGTGATCAGTAATAACCCATTCCAGGGGAGAGAGGGTGCGGGTGGGGGGCAGCCGTGGGCGGCGCCCGGAGTACCCGGGGCCGGCCCGTCTCAGCGGACCTCCACTTGCTGGGCAGTGCCACGACGGGCAAACTTCAGGCTGACACCTGTCGGGGGGGTTGCGAAACCAGTTCTGCGGGTCACAGCCCAACTTCTGAAACAACCAACTGGTAAATGACGGAGGGCCTCGCGTGTCTGGGCAGGAGCTGTTTCGGGAGACTACAGGCGTGCGTGCGTGTGCGTGCGTGCGTGTGTGTGGCTGGGCGCGCTGCCGAAGTGGGTTCCTCACGGTCAGAAAAGCGGTACCAACAGCCCCAGGACACCGCTTTAGCCATTAACTGAAACGGAAGCGCCACGTGGGAAGCAGAGGTGTTCTGTTAAGCTGCGTGAATCCGAGGTGCCAGGGAGGCCCACACGTGGCCTTTGCCCCTTGACTTGGAGCTTCGGGTGCAGAAAGTCCGGCTCATTCCCCTCCTCGGTGTATGGCACCTTGCCGTCCGTGTCCCAGGAGGAGTTTTTGACATGAGAGGTGGTGGTGGGAGCAGTCCCACCAGCAGGAATCTCGGTGGCGAGTGTGTCGCTACACACTTCTGAGCCACACGCCACGTGCACGTGGGATTTCCCAGGTGAATCTGACACTGCTCCATAACCGTGAGGTGTTCACAGGGCGGCGGGGAGACAGAAGCCAGGGGACCACGGGGGTGGGGGGCCTGGTGTGGGGCTCAGGGGCCCCAGGGCTGGGGCTCCATGGATACGAAAGGCCTCGCCCCCACGCCTCTCCCAGGAAACCTGTGTGCTCCCGGGAAACAGCTGTCAGGTAACCCCGTTCCAAGTGAGAATTGGGAGTTCTGAGTGACGAGGGGCTTGCTCAGGGTCCCTTGGGGACCCCTTGGCCCAGCTGCAGCCCCGCCTGAACCTCTGACTCTGGACCTCCCCCCAGAGACGTGTGCATGTCGGAGCAGCTCGTTGGAAGTGCTGGCATGAGCTCGCTCTGCCCTGGGTACCCGGTCGTGGCCAACATCCCAGTCAACATGTATTTGCACCTTAGCTGCCTCATTTCCATAGAGACCTGTGGTCATTCTGGCCCATAAAGGCAGCCCTGTGCCTGTGACAGAGCACCGCGCACCGTCCTCCCTCTGTGACAGGATCCATCAGGCCAACCCAGAGTCTCCTCGCGGGGAGCTGGGCTACAGGTCTGCCCGTGTTTCCCCCTTACGCTGTCAGACAAAGCCCGCGGAGCTGCCCACCAGCTCCCGTCTGCGTTTGCTCTTTGCTCCCCGCGTCCGTCCTCAGCAAGCTCTCCTGTAGGAGCAGCACCAGGCACATGCCGCTGAGAGTCTCAAGGGGAGGCAGGTCCACCATGTGCTTCGACTCAGCGAGCACACCCGTCAGCCCAGGGCAGCCCGCAGCTCGGGGGTGGGCGGAGGGCGAGGTGTCAGGTGGGGGCGACGTGTACCACCCACCTGGAGACAAGGCCTGGAATCAGAGGCGTGGAGGCGGGATCCTGGCTGCGTGACCTTTAGCCCCTTTACCACGTGATTGTATGCAAATCATTCCCGAGTGTCCAGAGGGAATGGTCACTGTACGATACTGTACTCCACGGGGTGGGGGGTGTTCACAGTAAGGAACGCCTGCTGTGACACCAGCCGGAGCCAGCTCACCCTTGCTGGGCCAGCATTATCCCTTTAGGCACTGGGAAGTGGAGAGGTCCTGGGTGGGCGTGGGGACCTTCAGGGCGTCAGGGTGGTAGCTCTTGACGAACTGGCGTGGGACCCCTGGAGAGCTTCCGGGTGTGCACCAGCGGGCGCCTGCCCCGCCTCTGCCGGGTTTCCTTCCACAGCCCCGCCTTGCAGAGCTCCTGGGTGTGTGGGCCCCTAGGAGGGGGAGGGGAGGCGCTCGCCTCCTGTGCAAAATTTAAGGGGGTGCCGAAAAGCTCAGTAATCCAGATAATATTTTGATGCAACATTTGACTGCAAAAATATTCCATGATGAACAAAATAGTGAAGTTTAAGATAAAGTGTGAGCCCCGGTGGTGCGCCCCTGGGCTCGCTTCCTGACGCCCTCGTCCAACGCCAACCTGTAGGTTCTGGAGAAGGAGCGCGCGGCCCGGCGGCAACGGTGGCGCCTGCGGCGGCTGCGGGAGCAGCTGCGGTACAAGGACCAGGCGCTGGGGCAGCAGACCGCGGCCCTGGAGCGCTGCCGGCAGACCCAGCGACGCCAGCTGGGCCTGGCGCGCCAGCAGGAGCGGGTCCTGCGCGAGCAGGTGCGGCGGCTGGAGCGGGACGTGCGGCGCCTCTGCCGAGCTGCGGGTCTCTTGCTGGCGGAGCTGGACACCCCGGCCCCGGGCAGTCGTGGACCCCTGGGCCCAACCGGTCCTCAGGCAGCCTCCGAGGAGGCTGCAGCGTGGCGCGCCCTGCAGGCGAGGGCCGGACTCAGCGAGAGCGAACGGGATGAGGCGGCGCGCCAGCAGCAGGAGCAGCAGGAGCAGCGCGCCAGGGAGCGCAGCCTGCAGGGGCAGCTGGAGGAGCTTCGCTGCTACATCTTTGAGCTGAAGCTGTCGGAGATCGGCCTGCAGGGCCAGGTGGAGGACCTCACTGAGCAGAACAGGTGCCTGCGAGAGGAGCTGGGAGCCCAGGCCCCTGGGGAGACAGTGCGCAGTGTGGCTGCTGCTGGTCCCTGCAGCCTGGTAAGTGGCGGCGGCACCTGAGGGCAGGAGTGATTGCTTTTCTCTTTCTCGGACGGCTAGTTGGTTAAGTCACCGACTTCTCCATCCCCCAGTCTCCCTCTTCCTCCACCCATCAAATCCCACCCGCCAGGTCTACCCATCTACCCAGCCAGTCCTCCTCACCTCCCCCCATTCACCCACCCACCCACCCAGGGGCTACCCTGCTCCATCAACTCACTGGCCCTAACCTCTGCTTCCAGCCTCTCCAGGCACCAGCCAGCCACCCTTTATCCTTCATTGTCTGTTCTCTGCTGGCCCAGGTCCGAGGGGCCGGGTGTCTCCGTCCCCACAGCCCACAGCCATCCCTGTAGCGCAGCAGGGCGGTGCAGCAGGAAATGCGCAGCAGTGGGGCCTTCCGGTTCACTCGCTGTGTGACCTTGGCAAGCTCTAGAGGCAAGGACAGAGGACACTTACTTATTCATTAAAATGACAGAACAGTAAAAACGTACCTGTAACACACGCCTGCCCTGTGCTCGGCACCCCACTGGGTGCCTCAAAGGCGTGATGCCGGTTAGTGCTCACGAAGGATGTGAGGCGGGTCAGGTGGTGCCCTCGCCGCACTCATGAGGGCGGCTCCGCAGGCGCAGGTGGCCCGGGGACCGGTGGCCACACAGTGGCAGAGGCAGAGCGGGAACCAGACCCAAGTCTGTGTGAGCCCCGTGCTTTGTCCCCTCCCTCCTCACGCTGCCCTGGAAAGGGAGCCAGGTCGGCCCCTCCCAGGCCCCTGCTTCCCTCCAAGGGGCCGGGCATTTAGGGAGAAAGCAGTGAGCAACCTTAGCTCGAGCGACATTGCTCATTAAAAAAAGTTTTCTTCAATTTATCTTGGGACCTAAACGACCTATTTCAAGTTACCGGGGACTGCAGACCTCTGTGTCTGTCAGCACAACGCGGCGCATCCTGCCTCCTTCGCGTCTGCAGTGTGCGGGCCTGGGTCCACTTCATCTTCTCACCACCGGACGCCCCCCCCGCCCTCTTCTGCCTGTCTGGCTCCCCCCGCCCATCCCGGTTATCGGGTGAAAGGAAAACAGTGTATTTTTGCTATTGGCACCTTACTGTAATTTTGGGAAATAAACCGTGTACAGCTGGACATTGTCATTTAGAATTCTTTCTGTAATTTCCCTAAATGTGAGGCCCTCATTTAGGCTCTTGGCGGAAGTCCTGATTCTCCACGTCCTCCCCCCACACACTGCGACTCCGTCTTCCTTCTGCCTAAGAGAAGGGGCGAACACCTAAATATCCGAGAGACCCCACTGACACGCAGGGCATTTCATGTTCCCGTTGGATGCTCAGACAGCCGTGAGCCAGGTGCTGTTCTCCCACTGACAGGATGGAGAAACCAAGCCCTGGATGTTAAGTGGCTTGGCCAAGGGCACCCAGCTCCCAAGTTCAAGGGCCAGCGGGGGCCAGGGCCAGATCAGCGCCGTGACTGCATGCTGCTGCCCTTTCCTGGTAACGCCAGGGCTGGGGGTGTTCTTGTCGAGCAGGGGCAGCGCCTGTGGGCAATGTCAGTGCTGGGTAGCATCAGCCTGCAAGCCCCTCGTCCCAGGGCATCCGAGACCTCCACGTTTCACAAATCACCATTAAAGGTCCCTGTGCCCCAGGCGCATGCTCTCAAGGCCTTGCTGGAGTCCGCCGTGTCTAAAGTCTCAAGAAAGTTCCCTAAATGGCCCATAAAGTACCGTCCCTGGCCAGTCTGCCTCTAGTGCTGAGAGAAGCCGGCTCCCCAAGGAGCAGAGTAGGCAACGGAAGCTGCTGTGTAGGGGCTGCAGGATAGAAAACTCCACCCTTAAACAGTGGAGCTGCACACAGTGGGGTGGGCCACGCAGAGGGGCAAGCTGTGTGTAATGGGGTGGGCCGTGCACAGTGTGAGGGGCAGGGTCCCCAGCAACCTGGCCAGTGCCGTTTCAGTGCAGCTCTGCCTCCTGGCCGTGGTGGTGCCTCTGGGCAGGTCACTGCCCTTCCTGTGCCCCCGTGCTCCCAAGTGTGACCTGGGAGTGACACCGGGGGCTGCCTCCCTGTCTGACCATGAGGGCGAAATAACAGGGTCAGGGAGGGCTCCTAGCAGTGTGCCTGGCACATCGTGAGTGGGCAATGAGATTTAGTGTCTGTCACCACCTTTGTCACCGCCATCATCATCCCCGCCATCCTCTCTTCCAGGGCCTGTGTGGTCCAGCGGGACGTTGGGTACACACACCCACACTACTTACATGATAGTTTCCCGTCCCCACTACCTCTCTCATCCTTTTATCTGTCTGCCCTGAGGGCTGACTGTTGAATGGAGAAGGTTCCATGTGACTGATAGTCTCCACTCGTCGGCCAGACCTGCTGGCGGAAGCAGAGGCTGTTGGCCTGGAGTGGGCGTGGCCACCAGCCCCATTGGCCTGAGGGGACTGCAGTGGCCTTCTGGGAAGGGCGATCCCCCGTGTGGTCCTCCTGGCCCAGTCACCAGTCAGCCTGCAGGGGCAGGTGAGGTGGGCGAGGCCCAGCCTGCTCCGGTTGGGCCTTGTCTTGATGTCCATCTACAAAGACCCTGCTTCCACATGAGGTCACAGTCACAGGTACTGGGGAGGGGCAGTTAGGACGTGAACATCCTTTAAGGTGCCACAGTTCAGCCCTTAGCACCTCTTACAGGGCGGGCGAGGGCTGTGGCCCTGCCTCCATTTGCCTCAGTCTGCCTAGAGCTCCCAGTTCTGGCCTCCTGGGCTTCCTCCCCTCTCAGCCCTGAAGGGTCGCCGTCGTCCTCACCAGGGGAAGCCTGGGGTAGGCGCCGTGTGAAGCCCTGGGGATGGCCACCACCGTGCCTCAGGCTGCAGCAGCAGTTGCCCCTGAAAGACCCAGGGGCGGGAGGTTGTCATGGCAACAAGCATGCGCAGGAGAACACTTCTGGACCTGAGTCATCCTTTCCTGGCCGTGCAAACACAAGGGTCCCCCACCTCTGCCCCATATTCCTGTCCACCCCTACGCTTCTCACCGACAGGCAGACGCCTCCCTGCACCTCAGTGGTTTCAGCAAGTGTCACGGGGCCCTGCCCTGTCCCAGGCACGGTGCCGGGCCGGGGCTGTGGGGTGACCCTGCTCCTCCAGAGCTCAGCGGGGCGCGGGTGCAGACAGTGGCAGTTGGGTCTCTGACTGCTGCAGCCCGGCCTGGAGGGTACCAGGGAGGCTACACCAGGAGACTGAAAGTCACCGTCTCTGAAGTGTCAGTCAGTGTCGGGCTGTTGTTTCAGAGCTGAGACCAGGATCTGGGGACAGCGACACCAGGAATGTAGGGCTCTCCACTGGCCTCCACCTGGCAGCCAGGGCAGCGTGAGGAGAGCGACCCCTGGTGGCAGTTACAGGAATCGCTTCACTGTTCAGCCAGTACAGGCAGCCCCTCCTTGTCACCAGAAATGCTGCTTCACATTTGTCACTCACTCCGGCAGGAAGCGAGGGCTTTAAAACACCACGGCGATAGCGCTGAGAAATAAAACATAGGCAAAAGCTACAGATGTGAACTGAAATAAAGGCCAGCGGTCTTACACAAAAAGGTCATTTCTAGTTCCGTTGGGCACAGTCGCGCCTCAGCGAAGGCTCCAGACTGCCCCTTGTTCTGTCCATTCCCCCACTGCTAAGAGCCTCTCACACTTGGCACAGTCGGTGAGAACTGCAATCAACCTAAACGCTCGGTCGGGGACCCGATTTGGTAAGATGGAGGCATCCTTGTGTGGCCGCCACAGAACACCACATTACGGAGGAACCGCGAGGAGCGAATCCTGAAAAAACATCATGGGAAAAGGCACAAGGCGAAAACTGGCAGTTTGTGGAAACAGACTTGGAAGAGTTTCTTCTATGCACAGAAGAAAGCCCAGAAGGATCGAGTCTAACCCACAAGTGACATTTGTGTCTGGGTGTCACTGAATTCCCCGTTTTTTTGCTTTTGCTCGTCTTTCAAAATGATCACACACTAAAGCTAAAACCACGCAGTTACGGGCAGTTGCTCCCGTGGGTGCTGGAGTGGGAAGGATGAACAAGGTGGAGCAGAGAGGTGCGCAAAGTGGGAGAGAAAGTGTGGGTCGAACTTAGAGCCCTGAGCTCCCGGCCTGTTTGCCTGCTGTGTGCGCTGTGTGACCTTGGATAAGTCACTCTCCCTCTCTGAGTATTGATTTCATCCCTGGTGAAATGAAAGGTGCGGAGCATGGTCTTCTGGGCTGCCCCCCACAGACAGCACCCCCTCGAGGCAGGGGTCTGTGTGCGCTTTATCTGTGGCTATATCCCAGCCCTCCCCGCCCAGGGCCCGCCTCGTAGTAGTTGCTCAGTGTGTATCTGTTAAACTGAGCTGAAGTCAACCGGGGTGTTGGAAAAGTCCAAGTGGAAATAAACAGCAGAACAATGGCCTTGGACGCTGCCCTCCTGCCTCCCCAGGTCTGTCTGTTCGTCTCTCGTTCCTTCCCCCCTCCTCTTGCTGCTTACCCTGAATTTCCGTCTCTCCTTCTCTCCATCCTATGCCCTCTGTCTGTCTTCTTTCTCGTCCGCTCTCTCTCCCGCCTCCTCTCTCCCCTTCATCTCTTCTTCTCCGTGTTCCAACCGTGACCTTAAGCTGCCGACAGAAATTGTATTTCTGATCCAGTGGGAAGCAAATGGATGAGAACGAGGGGCCGGCAGCCCACAGGGCTGTGAGGAGGAGGGTGCCGTGGTGGGGCAGACGGGGGCTGAACGCAGCGCAGAATGCTGGTGCCCGGGCCCCTCTGGTTGCACTTCAGTGCCCGTTAAAGCTTCTGGGCTAAGGTGGGGCCAGGGCGGAGACCCCTGCTCTGTGGGGGGAGCTGAGAGTAGACACGTCTGAAGTTTCTCACACATACCGGGCAACGCTTTTTTTCTTGTTATTTGTTGTTATTTGGTCAAGCCGGTGGGGGTGGGTTTCTCCCTCCTTGCCTGGGCAGCGTAGGTGCAGCCCAGTTTCCAGGTCAGTGGGATTGCTGGGAGGCCGAGCGTGTGGGAGGGAGGGGCTGCGACTGAGGCATGTGGGGTGGGGGCTGGGGCTTGGCCCAGCAGGCAGCAGGCGATGACCACCCTTTCCCGGGGGGGGGGTGGGGGGTGTGCCCGCAGGCAGAAGGAAGAGCATGGGCAGGTGTGTGGTTCAGGCCGGAGCCAGGGCCAGGGTGAGGGGGGCCCACGGCCACGTGGCCCCCAGTGCCTAGCCTCCGCACTGCTACTGGGTCTGTAGTCTGAGGGGCCGAGGGTGGCCTTGGTGCATTGTAGAGGGTCCCTCAGGAGCTTCGTGCAGGAGGCCAGGTGAGGAGCTGAGTCAGGGGTGTGCTGGGAGCAGGTGAAGACCTGGGGGACAGGTCAGGGGATGGGGTACTACCTGTTCACTTCCGTTCGTCCACGTCCAGAGCAGCACCTGGCACACAGGAGGAACTTAACATGTGGTTCCCCATAAATGCACCAGCGAAACACCTGCCTTTCTGCAGGTGCTGTCTGTTCATCCAGCTGTCACCAATTGTTAAGCACCTACTGTGTGCTGGGCTAAGGAGGGCACAGGCCAAATGGAGCCAAGGTCCCCACAGCAGGACCTCAGCGTCAGGTGGGGGGCAGGTGGGCGGCCAACGGCACTGGGTAGGACTGCTTAGCAGTGGCCTGGGGCAGGGGCCCCGTAGGCGGCGGGACAGGGCTGGGCCTTCCTGCCAACCCCACGCACCCCTGCAGGTGGCAGCCGAGGTGAAGCTCTGTCCGTGACAATGCTGTACAGGGACAGCGCCTTGCTGTGCACCATGCACCTTGGGGACAGGCCCGGCGGAGGGGCCCCGCCCAAGGACATTTGCTGTAGCATCTGGGATTTGTGGACGGTTGAGGGATAGGACTGCTCATAGCCCCGGAGCAGGCATCGCCTCCGTGGGCAGGACACAGCGGGAAGGGAGCAGGGGGACTCGGAGCCCAGAGGCACCGTGGCAGGACAGCTCCTGCTGCCTGCGGGATGGAGCCAGGGTGCCGATGGGGGCGTCTGGCCCGTCGGACCCGGCACCCAGGGCGGGACTGTAGGGCCAGGCTGTGGGCCCTCTGCTCCCTAAGCCTCAGCTTCCTCTGGGTTCCCTTTAGGGGTCACTGGGATGGACCCGCGGGGACGGGCTTGGAGTGGACACTGTGGCCCAGGATGCTCAGCTCTCTTGCTTCCTGTGTCTCCCTGAAGGAGGCCCCGGGCTGCGTTCAGGACGAGTGGCTGTGTCTGCCATGGGAGGAGGCGCTGGGGGCCCGCAGGCACCTGGGTCGGCAGACCTCTCCCCACCCCAGCTGTGCCCTGGAACCAGGGCCCTTGGCAGGTATGTGGGGGACCCAGAGTGGGGGCCCTGAGTGTCTGTATGGACACCATTAGCTCACTTACTGCATCTGGATGGTGCAGGGGGTGGCTGTCCCTACTCTGCAGATAGGAAGCCAAGGCTCAGAGAGGTGGTATCCTTGTTCAGGGTCACACAGCTGGTAAAGAGGGGATCGGAGTCTGCAACGCCCTGACATGCATGCCAGCTTGGGGCAGCAGGAGTTTCTCAGGGGGCGTTGTCCTCACGAAGACCATATACTGACCAGGGGCCATTCTATGTCCACCCCCACCCCAGTAAACGCTCCGGTGCCAGGTCTGGGAGCCACTGGGGCTTAGAAGCCCCCTGTCCCGCATGGGGACCTGTGTCTGTGATGACAGTCTCAGCCACAGCTTCCAGGATCCCTTCTGCAAAAACCATATCACTCGGGAGCCCCAAGGCCACTGAGGGCACCAGGGGGTCTGTGAGTTACTTACACTCCCCCAGGGCCGAGCGCGGTTTACAGCCGAGGGGCTCCTCGTACCCATCAGCGCTGCCGCCTGCAAGGGTAGCTCTCTCCTCTGTCCCCTTCTGAGAAGCTGAGGTTGAGGTTGAACTTCTCCTGGAGAAGGCACCAGGGTTCGCCTGGCAATGCAGCCTAGGGGTCAGCTCCTTTGTCCTCAGGGGGAGGTATTACCACCCTCTGTGGCCCATGTAGAAGCCTGGGGAGACAGTTGTCATGAATTTGTCACCTGTGTGAGTTCTGTGCTCGGAGGAAGTGGCTTCCGGACCCAGATCCAGGCTCATCTGGATGGGCCTTTCCCGTCTCTGAGCCTCAGTTTCCTTACCTGGCAGGTGATGGTGACCACCAGGCTGCCTTTGGGGAGGTGGCCTTGAGTTAGTGAGCAGTGCCTTCAGCCCTAACAGCAGGGACAAGGACACTAGTGACAATCCGGGAAGGTCCTTCTCACCCTCAGGGTCCTGTCCCTTCCAGGTCAGCCCGTCGACAGGCCCCACACCTGGGGCAGCATCGGGGCTGGAGGAGGCCCCTCCGAGTTGGTGTCGGGCCTAGAGACTCCGGCTGGACTCCTGGGTGACCTGGTGGGACCCGCCCTCGGACAGGTAAGGACGGAGGCTTTCCGTGTGCTCGGGGTGCCAGCTGGGTCTGATCAGCCCCTGTGTGTGCCCGCAGCACAGGAGGTGGGGGAAGGGCATAAAGACCCTCTGTCTTGGAAGAATATTCTAGAAATGGTTAAGAAGGAGATTTGAGGGAATGGAGGGGAATGCCCTGAGACCTGGGTGGGGAGTGGGCAGGAAGGGACCCCAGCTGTGTGCCCGAGCCCCTTGGTCACCTGCCGTGCTCCATCCCACGGGACTTCTGCCCATCTGTGAGGCAGGGGCCGGGGCCTGTCTGAAGGGCTGGGAGCTGGGACTCCAAGAGTGGCTCTGGTCCCCAAGGCCACACTGCCCTGGGGCCATGTCCGAGCCCTGTCTCAGTGGCCCACACCCTTCCCTGCCCTGTGCCCTGAGGGTCAGGAGCCTGGGTTCAAGTGGCCCTGCCTGGCTTGCTCCGGGCCCTGGCCTTCCTCAGTGCCCCTCCCCCACAGGTAGAGGGCAGAGACGCTGGAGCGGAGCTCAGGCCGCCAGCCCCGATGCAGCTCTGTGGCTCCCAGCAGCAGGGGTCTTCCCTGCTCCTTCGTTCACTCGCGTCCTGCCCCGAGGTGCTGCATGTGTGCATGCATGCATGTGCGTGCACACGAGTGTTTCAGTGTGCCCGTGTGCCCGTACATGCAAACATATGTATGCATGCATGTGACTTCATGTGAACAGGTGTGAACTGCCATGTGCTTTGAGAGCACGTGTGCCTTCACCCCATGTATATGTGTACATTGTTGTGAACATGTGTCTTTGTTCATGCATGTGTGCGTGCATGCAGCATGCCTGTGTGTGCATGTGCACATGCATGTGTATGTGCTGTCACCCCCAAAGCCCTCCTGGGGGGGTGGCAGGGCTTCAGGGAAAGGCCGGACTCTGGCTGCACCCAGGTGGGAGGATGCAGTTGGACAGACAGGAGAGCAGGACAGGCGGCAAAGGGGCAGGTGGGCGGGAAGACTGGCCAGGCAGTGGGCGGGGCCTCGTAAGCCCTAGGGTCCGCTCCCTCCCCCTTCCAGCTGGACGAGGCTGCAGCCCTGCCTGGGTCTGTTCTGTGAGCTGGGCCAGCCCTCCTCTCCGGATAAATGTGCCGAATAAAGGGAACATACAAACACATTAAGAAATATCCATGGCGCAGCTGTGTGCCGGCACCCTTCCAGGCCAGGTCCTGCCGTCAGGGGGCGGTCTGCACCCCGCTGCCCACCAGAGCCTGTGTGATGCTGGGCAGGTTGCATGTCTGTGCTGTGCCACACGGAGGCCTGTGGGCCCCCCACGGCCTCTGAGCACGAGATGCGGGGCTGGTACAACCGCAGGACCAAATGCTGACTGTCATTTCACGGTTTCCTGTTGGCAGAGCCCCTGTGGCCTGTGGCTGCCGCACTGGACAGTGCAGGCCATGGGGAGTTATACCGTTCGCATGTGGGCATGTGGCCTGGCAGGTGGAGCGGGGTCAGCGGAGGAGAGCGGCGGAGGTGGTGGGGGAGGGGAGGCTGTTCCGAGGAAGTGGCCTTTGAGTGGAGACTGCGGCCGAGCCACGTGGGGCTCTGGGGCAAGGACACCGGGCAGAGGGAGAGCAGGTGCCCAGGCCCTGGGTGGCGGCAGGGTCGGCTACGTGCCTGGGCGAGGAGGCACCAGCAGCATCAGGGGGTGGAGTCGGAGAGGTGGGGAGGCGGTAAGTGGCAGGAGGGGCCGTTTCACACCTTGCCGTCTCTTCCTACCCCCAGCCTGCTCCGGTTGAGTCCAGTTGGCATGAACAGACACTTCTGCTCATCGGTGGCTGCCACCCTGAGGGGCCGTGCCTGGCTGGCCCTCTGCTGCCCGTGGAGCTGGCCTGGATCCCAGAGCAGAGGCCAGCGACCACCCCATCCTGGGAGCCCTGCCTCCTGCTGCAGATGCCCACGACCCCTCCCTGGAGGCCCGCCGGGGACACGGCTGCCCTGCTGCTCCAGGGAACGGCTCCAGGACGGCTCCAGATCCAGCAGGTGCTGGACGCTGGGCCCCCACCAGCTCCCAGAGCCCCAGGACAGCCCTGCTGGCAGCACCACCAGACACGGAGCTGTGACACCACACTCTGCGAGGAGTCCCCACTGATGTCACACCACCAATGTCCTCGGACGGGGCCCAGGAACCTCAGTGCCCTTTGGAAGGAGAGAGGAGGAGCCCCAGAGTGGAGGCCTGAGGAGCAGGGGGCCAGGAGGACCTGGGGCAGGAAGGACGAAGACCTTAGCGACAGGTGCCAGCGATCTCAGGACAGGCATGAGCAGCCGAGCGTGGAGGGTGGCACCGGGGGCCTGGAAGGCCTGCGGAGCCCACCCAGGGCCACAGCAGCCCAGGCCGCTGCCTCCCACTCATGGCCCAGGCGGGAGCCCCGCCTGCCTCTCCTGCAGGGTGGGAGCTCCAAGTCCACGGAGGGCCCCAAATCCCCAAGTGGAAGGTGGGAGGCGGAGGAGCGAGTCTGGGGCCTCCTAGGAGGGCTTTCCCTAGTGGAGGAGGAAGGGGCGCCCCCAGCCACCTCTGTCAGAGCTCCAGGTGTCGAAGGACCATCATCTCCAGGCGCTTGGCTACTGGAAGAGGAGGTCGGAGGCATCAGGAACACTTGGGGCCAGGAGGAAAGCCATGTGTGGGCCGGAGATGCTCTGTTTCTGCTTGGGGAGAGCCCAGGGGGCGAAGGGCAAGGGGAGGTGGAGAAGGTGCTGTGTCCAGCAGGGTCCAGCCCGGGCTGCACGGAGCTCCCGGGAGAGCCCGGCTCTGCGGAGTGGGAGGCCAAGGAAATGCTCTGCTTTGGGGAAGAGAGGAGTTTGCCACGGTCTCCCAGATGGGCCCTGTCACCCGAGGGGACTGAACCCACCTGTCCCCCAAGGGTTCCACACAAAGGACACGGCAGCTCTGTGCCCACACTGGACACATTTGCAGAAGAGATGGAGGCTTGCTTCCAGCAACTGTCTGTCCTGAAGCTTGGGACTGAGGGTTGCGGGTGGGAAGCTTCCATGTTGGCAGGAGGGGATGGGGGCCAGGGGCTGGCTGACCCTTGGCAGGTGCTGGCAAGCCAGGGTTTGGTCACTTGTCCTGTGAAGGAAGGAGATGCGGAGGAGGGTCATGGACACATTAAGCCAGGAGAGGCCCTGGGAGCCAGCCAAGTTCTTCCAGAGCTGGGGCTTGATTTGGAGGACCTGTGCCCGGGGCCAGAGGGGCCCCCCGTGCCGGGCCAGAACCTCTGTGAGCCCTCGGCAGCCCTGGAGAGGGCCAGGAGAAGCCTCCGTGAGCTCATTTCTGGACTGAAGGAGGAGAGAAGCAAAGTTCTACACGACAACATCAGACTTTGGAGAGACCAGGAGAGATGCCACCATAAGATACGTGCCCTCCAGCGAGAGAGGGAGAGAAACGTGAACAAGATTTCCATGCTCACACGGGAAAATGGCGCACTGCTCAGGGACATCTGTCACTTACGGAGGGAACTGGACCAGTATTTGCAGGTCATCTCCGACCTCGAAGACTGCAACAGCAAAAGCTACAGCAAAATTTCAGAGCTTGAAGAGGAAAATGGCAAGCTGAGGGGGTGTCTGGGCCAGCTTCAGAGAGCCACGTCCGAGAGTGCCAGGAAGTGCCAGGGTGTGGTGCGGGACGTCACACAGGAGAACCGGGACCTCAAGGCGCTGATTTCGGAGCTGGGCGCCAGTTACAAAGGGCTGATCAAGGATCTCGTGGTGGGCATAGAAGACATGATCCGGGCCTTACGGGGGGAGAACGCGCACCTTCTGCACAGGATCCAAGTGCTGGAGAGGGAGGTCGCTGCGAGCACCAGCGCAGACGGGGGACGTCTGTGGGGAGCACGGGCCAAAAGCAAGGTGGACGCTGTGGAAAGGACGGTGCAGGTGACTCAGCTTTCAGAGCTCCTGGCGCCCGGAGTCCACGGGCCACCCCTGGAGGAGGGACGAGGTCTGGTTGCAGGGCGGACGGGACCCGCCCTAGGCCTGGAGAAGGCTGGATGTGGAGCTGAGTCTGCTGCCCCGTCGCCAGCTGGGGGAAATGCTGGCGCACCCAGCGCTCCGCAAGGAGGCCTCGGTGGAGTGGCGGTACTCGGGGCACACCCGGGAAGAGAGGAGGAGAGGCATCGGTGGCCTGCAGACCACGGGCCAGCTCAGGGGTCCCTGCGCAACGGCCTCCAGGTAGGTTGACTCTGCTCAGCTGCATCCTCATGTGTCTGGAACCTTGCAGGCTGCTGACCAAGCCCTTCCTCGTGCGACCCTCCAGCAGCCCGTGCAGGGTACAGTCACCGTCCCATGTGTCTGGTGGGAAAACACGGGCACAAGGAAGCTAAGTGACACGCAGCTAGGAGGGGTGATGCTGGGACTTGCCCCTGGGCAGGCTGGTGCCATTCTTGCCTGTGACCTGAGACACAAGCCTGCCCCGCCCCTCAGGCTGTGTGGCCGGCGGCTGGTGGGATGTGGAGGGCACGTTCACACGGTGAGATCAGGGCTCGTGTGTGAAATCCCCGGGTTTTTCGAGCAGCCCGAGTCATAACTCTGCACGCTGGGGCTTGACTGGTGCCCAGAGAGAGCCGCGGGCCTTAGAGCTTAATCAAACAGGGCTCGAACCCAGCTCTGCTCTTACTATACCTGTGACTTTGAGTCAGGATGCGGACTCGTGGGCCGCCTTCCTCACCTGTGGGCAGGACTGGACTTTCACACGGCCCGGGGGGCGGAAAACCCGCGGTGCTCCGAGGGCGGTCGCCAGTGCCAGTGGGACAGTTAGGGCTGGCCCTTTGCATGTGTTCCCATTAGTTCCCTGCATTTCTCCCCCCCTCAACCCCCACCCCCTGCCTCATCCCTCCTTCCTCCCTCCTTCCTTCTCCTCCTCCTCTCTCAGCAATCCCATCAATCATTTCTCTGGTTTGTGGGTTTTCTTTATTGTATATCTGTGTTTTATTTCATTGGTTTCTTCTCATAGCTTCATTATTTTCTTTCTTCCACTCTCTTTTGGTTTTTAACTGGTTGCTCTTCTTCTTGCTTCTTGTGTAAGAGGGTAGATCACCGATTTTTAAAGTCTTCTTCCGTAACCGATGCCTTTCCCTCTGAGCACCGCTTCTACCTGTTCTCATGTGTCGCACCTAATTTTTATGTCTGCTCAGGGAAAGTAGTTTCTGATTCCTACTGTGATGTTTTCCCTGGCCCACGGGTTACTTAGAAGCGTGTCGCTGAATTTCCAAACACCTTTTTTAGTTATAACTTTGTTATTAATTTCTAGTGTTATTTCCCTGTTGCCAGAAAGCATATACTTACATGACCTTGATCTTTTAAAATTTATTGAGATTTCTTTTATTGACCAGCTTATGATCTATTTTGTACACATGCTCCATGCTGGTAAAGAGTGAGCCCACGGCAGGTGCGCGTGAGCGAGGTGGGGGGTGTTCATCGTGCCCATCACACCTCCGGCGCCGATGCGGTGTCCATCGGTCTTGCCATGGACCCAGACGCCCTCTGAAATCTCTAACTCTGTGCCTTTGTGTGTTTCTTCTCTCGGTTATGTTCGCTTCGATTCATATGCTTTGAAGTTATTTAAGAGATACACCCAGGATTCGGGTTGTTACGTATTTCTGTGGAATTGACTCTTTTATCGTGATGAAATACCTTTCACCATCTCTCACACTTCTTGCCCTAAAGTTCGCTTTGTCTGATATTAAAGTGGCCACGCCAGTTTCTTTTCCTTATTTCATCATATCGTTTTACACTTATTGTAATTATATGTGTAATAATATTTATGTTTTGGTGTTTTCATGGTGCATAACAGAAAACCATGATGTGCGTGGTTTTATACTATTCATCATTTGCTTGCAATGGCTCTGCGTCTTTTTATTTAAAGGGCGTTTCTTAGAAACAGCAAATGCGTAAGACGGGTTCATGCCTCCCTGCTGACCGCGTGTTCCGTCCGTCTCACTGCTTCTGTTTTCTCTTATTTCTCCTTTTCCGCCTTTGTTTTTGTTATAGATAAAATAGCTTCTACCATTCCTTTTATCTTATTGGCTTCTTTTAGTATAATGTTTAGTGTCATTATTTAAAGGGTTATTCCAGAAATTCCAAGATGTATCTATTAATTATTAAAATCTACCTTAAATTAGCATCTTTACCACATTACACGTAATGCAAACATCCTGTAATAGTTCAGCTTCCCGGACTCTTTCTTCTTTCATTGTTCACTGTTGTGTGTTTCACTCCCACACACACTGAGCCTCGTGAGGCGCGGTTACCACCGCAGTCTGAACAGCCCCCGGTCTCCGTGCACACCGGTGCTGTCTGTCCGTCTGTCCGTCCTGTCCCCCGCTCCTGGGCTCTTCCCTTCTGCTGGGAGAACTTTGTTGTTTCTCATGGAGAGAAGGTGCTGCTGAGAAACTTGTCTTTCTTCTTAGGAGAACAGTTTTCATCTCCCCAAAGTTTTTTTTTTTCCTTTCGATTTAGAAGTTTAGGTAGACACACATCGCCCCCTCTTTGGCATTCTAAAGCGCTCGTCCGGTGTGCTCTGGCGGAGCCGGCTGTGTTTGTCGCCGCGTTGGTCCGTTTGTTTGTCTCCCTGAAAGAGACGTGTGGTCGTCTCTCCGACTGCCCGGGAGCCCTCCGCCCTGCCTGTGGGCTTCGGCACCGAGGCTGCAATGCGCTCGGGGTGGTTCTCCTCGTGGGCGTCCCCCTGAGCTTCTTTAAATTGTAGATTCGCGGCTTTTATCAGATTCAGAAAATTCTCGGCTACTACTTCCTTACATATTTTGTTTTGTTCTATTTTTCTTGCTTCTAAAAACCCAGACTTTTTTCCACTCTATCACACATGGATTGTGACTGTCTCTCTCTCTCTCTTCATTGGTTTGAATTTTCTATTCACCTGCCTTTGGTTTGCTAGTTCTGTGTTTTATGCGTCCTCTCTTCCATTAAATCCATCCAATAAGTTCTTGATTTCATTTATCGCATTTTGCAGTGGTAGAATACCTATTTTGTCCTTTTTAAGAGATTCTGAATCTTTATTGAACTACTTCCTCTTCTCATTTATTCGGTTCATGTTTTCTGTACATAAAACACGTACGTGGTCAGAGCCACTTTGAAGGGCCTGTCCGCTGACCGCAGTGTCAGGGTCACCTGCGGGTCTGTTTCTACTGACTCTTATTTCGTAGTTAAGTCCCATTTTCCTGCTTCTGAACATGTCTAGTAATTTTTCTGTAAATTTTATGCTGCACCCTTGGAAGGACATTGCAGAGACCCCCGATCATCATCTTCCTCTGAGGAATTTCAGGTGCGGTTTGCTCTGGCGGGTTTGGCGTGGTCAGCGACCCTTATTCCTGTGCAGGCGCATCTCGGTTCTGCCCTTTGTCCCCAGGCTGGAGTCCCCTCCTGAAGCGTGGCCCTTGCCCCAGGGGCTTGGTCTTTCAGCGGTATCAGCTCCCAGAACACCCCTGAGGACTCTCTGTTGGCTCGGCCATCTTCGCAGCAACGTGTGACCCCGAAACCCCTTTAGGAACTGACCCCCCAGCTGCTGTTCTCCGCAAGGCCTTGGAGTCCCGCACCCTGCCACCCAGCGTGGGGTTCGGCCGAGGACCCAAGGGGCATTTCAGGGTGGTGTCCGGGTTTCTTCTCCCTGTTGATTTGTCCCACAACACCCCTGAACTCCAGTCGCTTCTTCCCCCGAGCAGGGCTGCCAGGTGGAGCCTGGGCCGAGCCATGGTTTGGGGAACGTACCCGAGAGAATTGTGAGGAGAGCGTGGGGTCATCTTGTGCGTCCTTTTCCTCAAGGATGGCAGCCGTGCATTGTTTGGCATTCGGTGCAGCAAAGGGCTGCGTTTTTAAAAACTGTCACCCGAGAATATGTTTTATTGACTTTTTTGGAGAGAGGAACAGGTGGGGGGCTTTACGGGGCCGTTTGGATGCCCATCTCTTCTCGACGGGGCCCAGCCTGTGACTCTGGGCCCACGCTCCGTGGATTTCTATTAATTAAAAAAACCCCATGCCCCGTCATAGTCCTTGCTGACAAGGAGGGTGCCCACCGGCTGCCTAGTCAGCTGGCTGTGGCCCCCCGACTCTGTCCTGGGCCTCCTCGCACCTCCACATGGAGGAGCTCGGGCCCCCTCCTGCCTGCTCGCGCCCGGGTTAGGAAGACCACCCCCTCCACGATCCCCCCCAAGAAACCCACTCACTCCCGTGAGCACCTGTGGAAATGCACAGGGGAAAACTGGAAGAAAATATGTGGGTAATAACGATTATTACACAGGCTCCTAGGATGCGGAGTGACTTCTGTTACTTTATTTTCTCGAGAAGTTTTTGACTGAGAAAAATGTAAGTGGAAGAAAAGAATTGATTTGCTAAGGAGAATTGCCCAGAAGGTGACCAGGGGATTTCACTCACGTCTGATTTGCTCCAGGACCCGGAGGCCGCGCCCTCGGAGGAGGACCCGGGGCTGCGCATCCAGCAGCTCCACCACCAGGTGCTGACCCTGCAGTGCCAGCTCCGGGACCAGGGGTCCGCAGCCCGGGAGCTGCTGGTGGCTCGCGATGAGGCCCTCCGCCTCCGGGACCAGCTCCAGGCCGAGGTAGGCTGGGCAGGGCTCCCGCTTCTGTAAATGGACGGTCCCCGCCATCCAGGGAGTTTGGGGAACAGAGGGAAGAATCAGGGGAGAGCTCGCTGGGCGATCCCTGCAGCCGGTTAGTGTCGATGAGATTTCTAACGCACAGGGCAGCGCAGAGAAGAAAAACCCACCCAGCTCACCCGTGAAACCTAAAAAGAATAATACGTATGTGGGTTTTTTTGTTTTGAAAGAAAGTCCAACAGTTTTTCCAGTGCTCCGTCACCGGAAGCCCCCCTCTCTAGGAGTGACGTGGCTGCGGTTTTGAAAGGGCAGACGGGGACCCCTGTGGCTTTGGAGCTGCGTGGTGTCTCATCTGCGGTGGTGGGGACGTGAACCCGCACGGGTGACAAAATTGCGTAGGACCCGGCACACTCACGCTCACACTCACACACACACACTGACCAGAACATGCACGGACGGTGCGGCGGTTTGTCGGGCTGTGGGGGTTTGTCACCTGTTCTGGATGCAGGTCCCCTGTGGCACGTCGACTCGCACACGTTGCCCCTCATCCTGCTGCCCTTCCACTGTCTTCTCTTTCACTCCTGAACGGGAAACGGCCTGGCACACAGCTCGTGGCACAGCCCCCTGCTGCGTCCTAACCCATCCGGCCGGTGGACGTCACCGCGCGCCTCTTGACCGCAGACGGCCTGCTGGGCCTGGCGTGGCGCCCTGACCGTGCTCGGAGAGCAGCGCCAACGCAGACGTGCCGGCCTGGTCCCTGCAGCCTTGCCTGCGAGGAAGTGGAAACGGTGTACACTTTCATAGATAAGAATTAGTTAAATAAACTATGTTTCAGCCTCATGACGAAACGATCGGCAAGACTTTAAAAGTCAGAGGCCGGTGTGTGCTGATCAGGAGACAACACCCCGGTGTTAAGTCAGGTGACAAAGACAGGCTGTGAGACATCCCGCGCAGTGCGTTTTCCTAGGCGCACAGGCACGCGCGTGTGCATTCTGATCACGGGTATGTGGGTCAGAGGTCAGAAGAGCCTGGGAAGAGAAGGACTTTGGTTCATGTGGCATTCTTGTACCCACCCCAGAGGGGAGTGAGTGAGGGGGACACCCACGTTGTTACCTCCTGTGACACTGTGGGTCAGGCACCCAGGCAGGACCTGGCCGGGCCGGTCTGCCCCACCAGACGTCAGTGGGGGCCGGCTGGCCGTGTTCAGCTGGGCGCTGGGCCTCACCCCCGTGCCTGGCACCGCTGCCCCAGATGGTCATCGGGGTTTACAGCTTTGGGTGTGGACTGTGTGCCAGGTCGTGGCCTGAGCCCTTTCCCGGAATTGCTCACGGAGTCCTTGCTACACTTGTCACCATTGGATGGACACTAACATCACTCACCTGTTACAGATGGGAAGACAGAGATGGAGGAGAGTGACCTGCACAAGGTCACAGTTGTAGTGCATGGCTGGGCTGGTTTAAGGACCCAAAATAACTGGCCTGGGCACCCACAGGTGTAACACGGTGCCAGGACACTCTGGCGCCTCTGTATGGGGACATGGGCAGGTGTCCATCCTGCAGGACAGGAAGGGCCAGTGCTCCAGCACCCAGAGCACCCGTCCTCCCTGGTCCTGCCCAGCAGGTGACGGGAAAGGCCCCTCTTCCCTGCTGAGACCTCCTTCGGGCAAAGAGGGGACAAGAGCCAGCGCCTGTGCGTCCCGTTCAGCTGGGGAAGCGCCGTGCTGTGTGAACCACGGCACGGCCTCGTCCAAACCCTTCCCTTCCAGGTGGAAGATCTTCAGAAAAAGCTGCACAAAGCAAATTTGGAGGTGACCCCTTTGAAGGTAAGACATTGATGAAATCAGTGTAAAATGTCTTTCAAAAAAAGTTTAGTGTTTTGCCCGTTGTAGATGTGACCTGTCTCTGTTCTGTGAAAGTGCTGGACAGAAGCATGAAAGAGACCGAAGTCACCTGAACCCCACAGGAGCCTGGAGTTCGCATCCTGGGCACTGTGCACGCGGCCGAGGGCCCACCCCACCCATGCGCCTCTGGGCCCCGCTCTGCCCCCCTGGAGGGCCGTCCTGCCCTCGCCAACCTTGACACTGCTGTCCCCACCTCAGGGAGAACCCGGAGACACTGCGGTTCCCACACCGCCAACCGCCACCCCTTCTGTGTGTTCACGTCCGACTGTCCGACCCTCCTTCCTTCTTTCCTCCGCTCTTTCTCTTGCTTTACTGTAGATAAACAGCATGATGCACACTTTTTATTAGAAAGGTGTCCCCACGAATCTACACATTTCTTTACAAAATTCCCAGAAATGGCGTTACTGGCCCCCAGGACTTCCTTCATTGGATCTTTGCTGGTCAGATGTGTGGTTTGATGTCAGTGACCAGTTCCGTTTCAAAGCCAGCTCTGGGATTTGGGCAGTGCACCCAATGGCCTGTCCTTTCTGTTCCCCGGATGGGGTGGGGAGACGGGGTCGCTGGCCTGGGCTCAGCCTCTGGACCCGACTCACCCCCGAGTCCTGCCCGGTCTGGGCCTCGGTCTCCCGAGCTGTTCAGTCGGAAACGTGAGTCACACGCCCTCCTTGCGTCCCGCCTGGAACCCGTGTGTGCCTGAGCCTCAGGCTTGTGTCTGTGGAATGGGACGACCGTCTTTCCTGCTGGACGGTCCTCCCTGCCTGGCTGCTCCCGCAGCTCGTGCTGACGCCCCCCCTCCCGCCCCCGCACCCCCAGTGCCGTCCTGGGAAAGTGCAGGGGAAACTGTGAAACTCTCCGAAACTTGAGGCTCCCCGCTGCCCCCTCCCGTGTGCTTGAATGAGGACCATGACCCCGGTGCTCTACAGTGACCACGTGAGGTCAAAATAACACCAAGGCACTGGCACCACGGCGTCCACGAGGCCCCGCCCCACGCCGAAGAGGGCGGGCTGGGTGGGAGGAGCCACAGCGGCAGGGCCCAAGCCCAGCTTCCCCTGGAGCTGCCGTGTCCTCTCTCCCAGCGCCAGCTTTCCCGAGGCCGATGGGGACGGCGGAGCTAGGCTGGTGTGGAGGTTTTGTGTGGGGTCGCGATGACAGCGGACCCCCTCTGTGCAGTGCCTGCGGGGTGCCACGTGCTCCACACACACTGCGTTCCAAGTCCCCCAACAACACGTCAGGAGGGGGACACGTGCCACACTTTGTGGTGGGGAAACTGAAGCGCACAGAGAAGCAGTGACTTGTTCACAGTCACACAGTCCGTGGTGGCACCGAGCTTTGAACCCAGCTCTGTCTGATGTCACAGGCTGGACCCTCCCCTCAGCACACGGTCTCTCCGTGGTCTCGCTGCCATCGGCAGCGGCCTCTTTCTTGGGGGAAGGAGCACCTGGTGGTTGTCGGCTGGGGTGGCTGAGTGGTGTGGCCCTGATGCTCTCAGGGGCAGTGTGACCTAGGGGGCGCGGTCCAGGGCCCCACCTCCAGGTCACTGTCCTCCTGTCCTGCCTGCCTGTCATCACCTCCTCCCCCAATGGAGCAGGAGAGTACCCTGGGAGGGCCACCCCTGAGATGACAAGTCTGTTCCCTCCCCCCACACACATATGCAGGCATTTCACGTGGGGGGTCACTCACTCATGTTATTCATCCTAAGGGCCCCATGGTGCCCTGTGATGACACGGCCTTGACCTTGAGGAGCTCCCAGACTGTGTGGGAGACAGACGCACAAATGTAAAGTTAACAGCAGGGAGCCTTGGCTGGTGTGGCTCGGTGGATTGAGCCCCAGCCTCAAAGGGTGAACTAAAGGGTTGTGGGTTCGATTCCCAGTCAGAGTGCATGGCTGGGTTGAGGGCCAGGTACTTAGTGGGGGACTATGAGAGGCAACCACACATGTGTGTTTCTCTCCCTCTCCTCCTCCCTTCCCCTCTCTAAAAATAAGTAAACAAAATCTTTAAAAAAATTAATGACAGGGGTAGAAAGAAGCCGGAACGTGGGGCACAGAGGAACGCCAAGCCCCGATTGCCAGGGAGGTGACCAGGCTGCCTCTGAACAGACCCGATCGGGCTTTTCTGGGCTCGGGACGTGTAGGAGCCACAGAGGAGGGGTGGGGAACTGGGGGGCGGGGAGGGACCAGAGTGGCTGGAACAGGAGGAGCGAGAAGGAGGGTCACCGTGATGGGGATGGAGGGCTGCAGGGACAGGTCCAAGATCACTCGTGCCTGGTGGCAGTAACAGCTGGTGGCTTCCGAGGGCCTGGCCTGTGGCAGGGCTCCACTTACACTGTCCCTTTTGTTCGGTGCCCTTAACAACACCCGTTGTATACACGAGCAAGGCAAGGGTGGAGAGAAGCTTGGTCACGTAGCGGTGGCAGAGCTGAAGCCCACGCCCTTGACCCATCCAGAGGGCGGCCAGAGGCAGTGGGGAGCCCTGGAGGGTGCAGCGAGGGGCAGCTTGTTTCAATACTGTCTCTGGCTTCTGGGAGGAGGGGGGTTGCAGGAAGAGGGGTGCAGAGCGGGGACCTGATGCCCAGCCCCCACGGGAGCCCTGCATCCAGGAACCCACCTGGCTGTGCCTTCACTCCCGCAGGCCAAGCTGGCTTCCCTGGTCCAGAAGTGTCGGGACAGGAACCATCTGCTCATGGACCTGTTGCGGAAGCTGCGCAGACATGGGGCGGCGGACCCCCTGCTCTCAGAGATGGTGCGCGGCATGGCGGACGATGTGGCGCTGGCCGAGTACGCGGCCACCTTCTTGGCACCAGGGCTCCCAGAGGTAGGGTCCCATGGATAGCACTGTCCCTCTTCCGTGCGGGCTGTGGGCACATGACCTGCCTGTGCCCCTGCTCTCTCCCTCCCTCCGCCTGCCGTCCCCGCCAGAAACACACCCTGCACCTCTGCACCCCTGCTCTGCCCCGGCACCTGTGCCTGGGCTGGCATGGGGAGGGCACCTGGCCATGCTTCCCCTGCAGGGCTCACAGCATGATGGGGGACAGACACACACGCAGCCACTGGGTGCAGTGTCCTGCTGGCACCGCGGTTCCTTTCACCAGAAGGTTCTTCCCCATGTGCTTCGGAACCTCAGCACTTGCTGCTTCTCTGGCAAAATTCTCGTTGCCCTTCAGCCTCCTCTCCATCCTCCAGGCCACAGTTCAAGTGCAACCTGGCCCAGGGAGCTCGCTCTGAGTTGCTCGGACCACAGTTGGCCACATCCCTCTGTCCTCCATGGCACATGGATACACCTCATGTGACACGGAGGAGGAAGGTCCCTCTCCTGGGGTGGGAGTTTGGCTGGCACCTCTCTCTCGGGGCCAGAGCCGCCCCATGGCCAACGCTGTCCCCCTAGTACCCGGCGCAGAGAAGCTGCTCGGGGGTATTCAGACGAATGAATGAATGTGTGAGTGAATGAAATGAATAACGATCTCTTCTCCTAACGGTCAGTGAAAGAGGCAATGAGGCTCAGAGAGGCTGGGAGACTCACTCAGGCTCACACAGCCCCCAGGTGGTGCAGGGGGTCATGGATGCCATTGCTGCCCCAGGTCTGGTAAAGGGTCCGCCTGGCTCTGAACAGTGGTGCCTGGGCATCGTGTGCACGCAGCACCCGTGGGGCCTGGGCCGAGCCAGCCCACACACGCCCACATGTAGGTGTGCGGCCCCATGTCAGAGACCAGCTCCCGATGCTGCCAGGTGAGATGTGGCTCCCGCAGCCCCCGATGCTGCAGCCCCGCCTCCTGGGCTCCTGCTCTGGCAGCTTCCGCAGGCCTGTGTCTCCCTCTCCACCCCGAGCCTCCCCGGTGCCCATCTTCTCCATCCCATCCTTGCCCCACAACCCCCAGAAGGTCTCAGCTGACCCTACACCAGGTCACCGCATGACAGAGGAGACAGGAACCTGGAGGCCGAGGGGGCTGCCTGTGCGGGGCCGCACTTGGACCCGCAGCCTCAGGCCCCCAGCCCAGCACTGGTCTTTTTGCCTGAGCGGGTCCCGCCTCTTCAGAGCCAGCGGAGTTTCGAGGCGATCGGTCAGCATGTTGTGGAGCTGCCTGGCACTGAGGCAGGACTGGACTGCAGCAAAGTTTCAAGGTACCGGATGCAGTCGGTGACATCGCCTGGGAGGACACCTGGCAGTGAGAGCCCCGCCTTCCACAGCTGCTCCTCAGCCCTGCAGGCTCTGCAGCTGGAACTGAAATGCTCCCTGGGATCCCACAGGCCGACCCACAGCAGCCAAATTCACAGAGGCTGATGTATAAACCCGAACACTAATTTAGTCACTTCCTCTGAGAAACAGAACTGTGCACAGGCTGAAGGTTGGGTGGATGGATGGGAAAATGTCGGCATGTTCGCCCCTATCTACGTGGAGAGTCAGGCTCATTCATTCATTTGTTCATTACTCAGTCGGTAAACGTCTATGATCACAGGGTTGTTTGGGAGCCCAGGAGGGGAACAGGGGCTGCATCATCAGTCTGATGCTTTCATGTCCTATGAGGGTGTGTCCCTGGGCCTGGACACATCTCCCCTTGGTCAGGGAGGCTCCCCCAGAATACTGAGCACCCACTGCCATGAGCCAGGCCTGGCCCTAGGGTGCTGGGGGCAAATGGCAAACCAGACAGGCCAAAATGAGGAGTGGGCAGACATCGCAAGTCGTGGTGAGCGCCGCGAAGAAAGTGGGTGAAGAGCTGAGACAGGCCGACTGACGACTGTGTGTCTTTAGACAAGACCCTTAAGGACCTGAGCCTCAGATTTCTCACCTGTAAAACAGGAATACTGCCACCTACTGGCAGAGGTGTTGTGCAGACTGAACGAGGACGTCCCGCGTCGCGGGAACCTGGTCCTTATGTGGGCCATTGTCAACCGGGCGGGCCCAGGCATCAAGGAGCCCTGGTCAAATCTCGGCTCTGCCATTGTCTATCTCTGTGATTGCAAGAGGGGACCCTCGCACATGCCACTCACTAGGCACAGGCATTTCTCTGTGTGCTGCGTGTAATGTGATAATACAAGTCGTCCTCGAGAAAAGAAGAGAGAGAAACATGGATCGGCTGTCTCCTGTCCACGCCTGCACCAGAGCTGGAACCCACAACCTAGACATGTGCTCTGACCAGGGCTCGAACCCACAACCTGTTGGTGTATGGGACAACGCTCCAACCAACTGAGCCACCTCAGAGCCATTATTATGATTATTCCCCCCTTATCACTCTTACTACCCACTTCCAGTGAGAAAACTGAGAATAAGCCTTGCCCGAAGCACGGGTCTCTAAGTGGCTTTCCAGCCCAGAGGTTGCTGCGGTAAGTGGTTGCAGAAGCAGAGCCTGGACTTGAACCTGGCAGCCCCTATAATCATGTGAGAAGCAGCCTGGGGTCTGGCAAATGTGCAGACTCCCAGTGAGTGGCTCCCTCTTGTGGCTGCAGGGCTGGTCCTCCATGTGCAGCGAGGCCGGGGTCCCTGCTTTGCTCAGTCACAGTCACCTGTGTGAGGCTTTTTCTGCACCATGTTGTGCAGAATAACTGCTGAGGTCTCTTTTCTTCCAGACAAGCTGCCACCTGGATGTCCAGCCCAAGGAGACAGCGGCTGTAAGAGGTCAGTGAGACTGTCCACTAGGAGCAGCCTGTGGGCTCAGACTGGGTCCCAGCCAGCAGGACAATCTGCCAGGTGGCCAGGGAGGGAGAAGGCCCATGGTCAAGTGCGGCTGATGAGGAAACTGAACCCGCTTTCCCTGACTCCCTTCCCCACTTATACCACCTTTCCTGTGCACAAGCTCCAGAGAACAGAAGAAAAGGGGAAAATGCCCCTGAAGCAATGGTTCAGGTCCTCAGCCTGCAGTTTCATGGGTTAGCCTAGAAATAAAGGCCTTCCAAAGCGAGAGGCACCCAGCGTTTAGCTGAGATCAGCGAGAATTCAGGAGAGCACCGATTCAGTGTCCATCTGGAGACCAAGGCGGTGGGTGTGCAGGCATTGCTGCTGGTGCAGACAGCTAACACAGTGGCGCGAATTCTCAACAGTGTTGCTAATTTTCAGCCTCGTAGTCACCAGACTAGCAGCCCTAACAACTGCTTGCTTGTTATCTTTGCAAACACATCTTTGGAGCCCGAGGTTGCCCTGGGCCCAGTCCAAACGCGTGGAGGCGTGAAGTGGTGCCAGACAGTCCTCTGGGCCGGCAGCTCTGGATCCGTCTCCAAGGGGCTCTGTTCATTATTTGTTTGAGGTGCTCTATGAGGGTCCTCCTAAGTAAATGATTCTATGTGTGGGAAGGCTCAAAGGACAGACATCTGCGCTAGGGCACTTACAGTAGTGATGAACCGGGGGAAAAGAAATGCCAGGGGTGTTAGTGAACTCATACACTCCATGAAATGGCAGCCACTCAGATGATGCTGTTTGGCGCCATGTGATACCACGGAAATCATGATATGCCGCTAAATCAAAAACAGACCGGAAATGAAATGTATCGAATGACTCTCCTGATTCCGTGCGATTGACAACTTTGGGAAGGAGAGCAACCAAAACAGTGGTTCTTAGAAAGATGGTGACATGGGTGATCTTTTTGTTCTGCTATTTTTATTATTTAAAATGAAATTAAGCCGCTCCCTAGCCAGACAGAACTTCCTGTGTGAGTGCCGTGTACACCTGCATGAGGGTGGGGTGAGCTTCCGAGGATTCGTTTAGGGGCCTGTTCCTGTCAGGTGCTCAGCGGGGGAGGGGCGGACGGGGTTGGCTTTAGGTGACTGAGCCGCTCTGCCAGCTTCTCACTTAACCTGCAGTCACCTGCCGTGTGATCTCGGGTGCATTAAATAAGCCCCAGACTCCGATCTCCACAAGGAGGACACTGCGACCTTTGTCAGGAGTGCCTAGGGCCTGGCACCAGAAAGAGGCCCGCCCTCAGTCTCTAGCTGACCTGTTTTCACAGTCGGGGGGCCATGAATTCGGCTGGCCCCGCTTCTGCCTCTGGTCTGTGCAAGTCTCTTCCCTCTGCTGGGCTCAGCTTCCCTGCCTCCCAAAGAACGGCGTGCACTGGGTTACTGAGCTACACGTGCCTTCCGCTTCTCTGGGGGGCTGCCATGCGCCCCAGCACGCAGGTGCTGCCGGTTAGCAGAGATGGGCCGGCTTTTCCGAAAGCCCCTGAGCAGAAGGGGCCTACAGGAGAAGGTGAGGCAGGCAGGCAGTTTTCTGGGACATGCACGACCCTGACAACCTTCAGAGGTGTGCGGATGGGCGCCTGGCGAGTTTAAGGCACCCCCAAGGCTCTCGATCATAGGGCAGGGGTGAAAGAGGATGAAAAAGGTTATGATGAGGCTCAGAGACTTGCTGATTTTATAGATTCCAGGTTGCACCATGACCGAGAACATTCTCTTTCAGCTCAGAAATATCTCCTAAATCCTGAAACGGACAGCGCCCTCCCCAGGCCTGTGCGCTCCGAGTCCGGGCCTCATGCCGAGGCTGCGTGGCCGGCACAGACAGCTCCACCAGCTTCTCTGGAGGTGAGAGGACATTGGCCACCTAATTTCTTAAATAATCCTGTTAACCAAAGGTATAAAACACACAGAGAAAAGGGCACAGCATACAGCTCCGTGAACCGTCGGAGAGCACTGTGCGCCCGCGAAGGCGGCGGCGGGTCAGGAACTGGAGAAGGATCGATGCCGCGGAGCCCGGTGTCCTCTCCCAGTCACTTCCTGTGGTCTGTTTTTCCATTTGTGTGTTCGATCAAATCACCTGTGTTGTGTCTAGTTATTTTTCAGTGAGTGCTAGACATTGTGCACAAAAACTTGTGCAAAAACATTATCTGAGGTTTAAGCTTGATATTGTCCTCACCCAGAGAGGACTCCGTGGCTTCTGACAGGCAGCCAGAAGGCTGGGTGAGGACCGCCCCTCACATCAGTGGTCTCGGCGCATGTGGAGTCTGCTTTACTTCCCATTCACTCTTGTTCCTAGGGCACGGCCTTCTGGGGTCCAGATCAAAGCCTGTAGCATTTGTATTTATCCGCGTTTTCCCTCCCCCCCTTCCCCCAGCCTCTGAAGCTCTGCCGGGCTTCCCACCTCTCAGCTGTCATGGACAGCCCCTGCCTTTGCCCTCTGGGGACATTCGGCTCCCACACTGAGCCAGCTGCTCGTGGCTTCTCTCCCCTTTTCCACGTCCTCAGGGGCTTAGGCACTCTCAGATGGTTTAAGATGGTAGAGATTTAGTTATATCTGGTCCAGCCTTCCTACTTGTCCTTAGTGGAGGTTCGGCCCAAAATGTCCTGATCCGCCACAGCCAGAGCGGCCCTCTGTATTCGGAGAAAATGCAGTTCACTGATTCCGAGACCTGGAGTCTGACAGGCCTGAGTTCAGACCTGATCTGTGACTCGGCAGGTGGCAGCGCAGGTTCCTATGTGTCTGTGCCTAACTCTCCTTGCCTGGAAAAGGGGGAGAAGCTGCCTCCTGCTGACATGAGGGCAGGACCAGGCCGGCAGAGCCGGGTGTGTCCGGGACCTAAGACAAGTGCTGCCCGGCACGGGGGAGGTGCTCTGTAAATGACAGGTTCTGTCCCTGACCCTCCGAAGCTTTTCTTTTCCTGACTGGTGGCTTTTGTTTCAAATTACATGTCTACAGAGCTTGTTGCCTGTAGTTAGACCTCCTTTCCTGCTTTGCTCTTTTCCTAGGAAGATCACCTCTGATGTTGGAGTTTTGACCTCTCTGGTCCCTGGCAGGTAGAAGGCAGTCTACGCAAAGGAACAGCAGTGCAAAGACAGAGTGCAAGTGCCCGTGTGTAGTGGGGGTGCTGTAGGCAGTGAGGCGTGGCTGCCACGCACGGCCTGAGGGCGCGGAGGGGCGTCTCAGAGCTCACACAGATGGATAAGAGCAGGATGAGAAAGACACCCCGGCTCCCATTCCGTGCGTGCTTCTCTGTGCCATGCTTATGTGTGTGACGTGTCAGCTTACCCGGTCGACGTTCCTACGGGCCCACCACGGGGACCTCAGCCTTCTCCCCGCGTCACCTAGGAGAGGAGGCACAGGGGAGGGAAGCAGCTGACCACAGCTGGAGTGGCAGGGCCGGGGCTCCGACTTGGGCAGCCTGGCTCTAGAGCTGGCCCCCGGGTCACTATGTGGCCACATCATGCTGGGCTGTCCTTGGGGGGTGGGTAGGAGGTAGGACAGGTCCCTCCTGTCCTCCTGGATGCTCCGATCTGAAGTTCAATGTGAGGAAAAACTCTCAAATGTCTGCTCCAGGTGGTACTGGCCAGAAACCCACAGCAAAGCTTTTGAGGAAATGGCCGGAGCATAAATTAAATAACGGGATGCACCCACAGAGCATCTTACCACTCGCAGTTCCGAGTCTCTCACTGCTCAGCTTTCTTCATAGTTGATTCTGCCGATGAGAATGCTGCCGGTGAAAGCCTGTCCTCGACTGGACTTCATTTGAGCCTATAGGATGCGCTGGTTCCTTTGTGGTTAAATGACTGATGCTCTGGTTTCTTTGTGGTTAGATGACAGGATGCCTGTTTGGACCCCCTCCCCCCACCGCCTTACATGGTACTTGGAGCAAAGGAAGCTTTCAAAAGGCCTTCTTGGGAAAATAATTAGCGGGAAAGGGGGCTGTCAGGCCATTTCTCCAGGGGGCCAGGCGGGCATCTCGTCCTCACCACCCACACTGCACCGTCACCGCAGCCTTGGCTCCTTGTAAGGGACGTGGGGGAGCAGGTCCCCGTGCCCCAGGAAAGCCAGATGGCAAGCTGGCTGTCTGGGCTGCTCTGGGCAAGAGCTTCCCATGGCTAAGAAACCCGGTTTGTTAGAGCGCTGCACCAGGGCATTAGCGACCTAAAAGCAAAACAGGGTCGTTTTTGAAGGGCAGTAACTTACTATGTCACATGTCACAGTCATATTCTTTTGTCATATGCTTAGAGAGAGAAGAAAAAGGAAGGTGGGGGAGACGAAAAATATACAGAAATGGCCAGAAAAGGCTGGTAAACCTGTGGGAACTGAGTGCGTGTCCCTGCGTGACATAAACCTGATTCTGTCACTCGCCCACTGAAGACCCTTCACTCGTCCCCGGGCTCAGCAGCAGACTGTCCTGGGGACTAGTGCAGGCTCGGGAGCCAGGCAGCCTGGGCCCCAAACCTGGCTCTGCCTCCTTATTGGCTGTGTGGCCTTGGGCAAGTCACTTAACCTCTCTGGGCCTCTGTTTCTTTATCTGCGTGATGGGATGGTACTGTTTCCTCTCTGAGTTAAGACTCGAATACATAGGCACACCTTGCCTGGACGCTGGCCGGCACGCTGCAGGAGCTCCGTCGTTGCTCGCCGCCACGGGCTGAACCTCATGTGATGGCCGCTGTGCACCACCCTCCCCCTAAAAATCAGTGGTTCCCATGGTTTAAACTGGCGTTGGCATTGCAGGCCAGAGGTCAGATGCCCTAAGTTGGTGTTGACATTCTATGTGCATGTTATTCTGTGTGGAATGACCTTCGGCTTTTAACAGGGAGCAGAATCCTGCCCCAGCCCCAGCCCCAGCTCTGACTCCACCCCCTCCAGGAGGCCCTCCCTCTCTGCAGTGCGCATCGCTGCCCCCTGCCCACCCCTCCCAGGAGCTCCACAGTTGTGCCTGGGGTCACCTGCCTCTCGCCCTGGATTGGGAGCACCCGTGGGCAGGGTCTGGGAGGCCCAGGGAGCTGCACCCCGATCATCAGTCCTCCCTCCCCTGCTCTTCCTTTCTCAGCAGCTTCCACTGACGAGGGAGGGGCACTGGGCATGAGACAAGACTGCTCTCGGGTCCCTGCCTCCTGGGCCCCCTGGGAGTTTGCTCCATTCTGCTTGTGTCACTGGTCGGGCTCAGACACACAGGTCACACCATAAGGAGGACTTGTTGCCAAGCACAGGGGACCTGCCCGTGACTAGCAGGGACGGTGCTCGGTAAACAGGAGATGCTGGGTGTGAAGGGCTAACACCCGTACAATCGCTGCTGGTCGCGATCTAGAGAGACGGGGGCTGAAATCGGATGGGCTGGGGCCTGTGCACTGAGCCGGCCACTTCCACGCTGTTTAGAGGCTTTGAAACGGGCCACCGGTTCCTCATCTGGGACCCGGGCCTAACACTCCCCTATCGGGAGTACTGAATGAGGCCATGAGAAAGGGCACATTTTCGAGAACCGAGGGCTGCGCTGTGTGTGGGGGTGGCGTGCAGGAGCCGTTGGTTCCCTCTGGGTGGGGGGGTCACTCTCCCTCGACACTGGGAACAAGAAAGTTTAGAGAGGACATGTGCTCCATGGGGACACCCACCAGCTGTCGTGTCAGGCACCTGCTGGGTGACATGGGGTGAGAGCCGTCCCCCACCCTCCATTTGTTCACCCACCACACAGTGGCGGTAGTGTGGGCCTCACCGAACCTAATGGAGGAGGTGAGCTAATGGTGGAGGGTGTGTGGTGTCAGGCGCAGAAAGTGCTCCATATGAGCTGGCTGTCATTGCCATCTGTCCCTTGGGTACAGTGTGGGGCCAGAGGGCTTTTATGAACAGGCAGAAGCAGAGACCCTTTCGTTTTGCTCTTGCCTCCAGCTTCCTCTGCCTTCGGGGCCCACGCCGGATCTGGGGCCGTACCTGGCCGGGGCCACCATGACGTCAGGACTCCCTGCCCAGCGCCTGCGAGGAGAAGATGGAAGGTCCCACCCTGCCCTGCGAGCCGATGGCCCGTCGCCGCCCTCTGAGCTCCGGAGCCCGGCAAGGATCCTGGCTTTCCACAGAGAGCTGCGGCAGAGCATCCACAGCAGTTCCCGGGCCCATAAATCACCGCTGGAGTTATAAATTCAATAGGATCGCTTACTCGCCGGGGCCGTTTCCTGGACTCCATAAATATTTGAAGCAGAGCCTTCAGAGAGCGCTTTAAGAAATTGGTAGCAATCAAAGCCCTTGTTCCGTGGCAAGTGGCTCTGCCTTTGGCGTTGGCGTTTCCGTGGCTGTTGGAGTTTGAGAGAAAAACGGGCGTGTGCCCTGCAGATTCTGAGGGCGTCAGCTTTGGCAGACGCCCAGGCAGCAAAGGGAACACTACTGAACCCACACGGGGTGACCGGCCCGGTGGTGCTCCACCTGGGCCTGATCGTGTCCCCGCAGGGCCAACGAACTTGGCAATGTCTGCAGACATTTCTGTTGTCACAGGTACTACTGGCATCTAATGGGTAGACACCAAGGATGCTGCTAAGTGCCCCCTCAGTGCACAGGCGGCCAGCCCCCAGAACGAAGAAGGGTCCCGCCCAGAGGCCCGCGTCTGGGGAGGCGGCCTGGGACAGCTCCAGCGTCGGCCATCGGGCACCGTTTTGTTCTTCCCCGTCCCTGGCACCCGCCCTCGGATTTTAAACAATTTTTGTCTACCAAATGAGATGCTTGATTTAAGTGATTATATATTTTAAATTTTAAAACAATAAAACCAATCAGAACTTTCTCATGGGTACATTCATTGGGCCTTTGTTGACATCCAGGCCACATGGTCCAAGGGTGAGAGAGAGGTCAGTCAACCTTGGTCCCTGCTCCAGGGAGCTCCCAGGGCAAGGGGACAGACCTGTCACCGATGTGTGATGAGGGGAAGGGCCACCTCTGGCTGGCTTCAGGGAATGGGAGGCTTTTCGGGAAGGAATGCTTGCTGAGCAACACGTGGGTGAGGTGGGGAAGGGCGTAACAGTCAGAGGGAACAGCATGTGCCAAGGCCCTGAGGCAGGAAACGGAACTCCACCGGAGGAGGAGTGACCCCAGCCAGGGCAGCTGCCAGGAGTCACATCACTGCCTCGTCCCCGCCCAGCGCCCCTTCCTTCCCCCAAGGCCCAGGGGTGGCAGAAGAAGGCCTCCATTCTGAGAGCAGGCCACCCAGAAGAAGAATCAGGGGAGCTTGGGCCCCACCTGCCCAGACCTGTCCCCAGGCTCGACGACCTCGTCTCGCCCTCGGGAGCCGGCTGGTGAGGGCTCGGGGGAGAGCTCGGCTGCCTGCCCGGTTCTGCTCCCTCCTGGACGCGGTTGCCGGGTGAGGTCCAGGCAATACAAGCACCGGAAACCGAGGGCTCCCCAGGCAGTGGACAAAACACGTGGATTTTAAATTGGTGCATTTTAACATTTTTATGTTGAAATGAAAGGTGCAGGGCATTCCCACGTACCCTTCCCCCAGCTTCCCCGGCTGGTGGCGTCTTAGGTTCCTGTCAGTGGTGCAGTGGGGGGAAGGGATGCGATGGGCTCACGAGACAAGCAGTGGGGGGCAGTGGGCGAGAGCACACTGAACAGCTCCCAACCCACGGAGCCCACAGGGCCGTGGTCACGTCCACAGTCATCGCCTCCATCATCCTGTCCCCTTGGATTGAGTGAGCAGGGGACCTACCCATCCCTTTGTCGCCGAAACATTTAGTGGGGAGCACAGTGTGGGGGCCGGTCCTCAGGTACGCGCTGGGAAGCAGGAATGAAGGATTTCTGTCTTTGTCCCCGAGGACCTGCAGCCCCCGTGTCACCCCCCCAGGAGTCCCCACACTGGAAATCACCACTGTCAGCACTTAGGCCACTTCAGCCACCCCAGCTGCCCCTGTAATTGCCCACGGTGCAGCGTCCCGCAGAGCTGGTCGGTAATGCTGGTTCTGATCTCTCCCCTCCCCCGCCCCTTGTGTTGGGACAGGCCATGGGCTCTGTGCACTGGCAATACCATGAAAGAGGGTGAGAACTGGGCGAAGTGGGTCAAACGGCCCGCTGAGCCGCCCTGCTGAGCCAGCAGCCTGCACAGGGAGGGGGGGTCAGTTCCAGTCCCAGGCCACTCCGTCGTGGTCGGCTGCTGGGCATCTGGTCGCCTGAGAGCTCCCTGTGGCCTCTGCTCGCATCTGGGCCTCGGTGGAGAGGCACCAGGGGAAATGCATTATGGAAGCCAAGGCAGCCCCTGCAGCGTGACCGATGACCATAATCCATCATGTTCCGCAGCCAGACACCGAGTATTGACCGGAGCTGCAAATTTCTGCCTTGTGTGTGTGTGTGTGGGGGGGGGGGGGTTGCCTCACACTGGATCGTTGCTGGGTGCCTGGGTTGTAATGCTGGGTGGCAGACTCCAGCTCTCTCCTTGCCTTGGTGGCCGTAGGCCCAGCCCTTGGACGAGGTTGGCAGGGGGCCTGAGGCAGCCAGGGCCCCACCTGTCAGTGCTCCTGGTACTAGATTCGCCCTGATGACCGAGCAGGGTCAGGCAGGATCTGGCTGCGGGGACGCCCCTGTGGTGACCCGAGGCGCCTTGGGACCAGCCAGATGGGCCAGCCCAGCCACAGCAGCAGAAAACGATTTGTCAAACCAGCTGTCAGCAAAGGACAATGGTGGCCTTCCCTGGGGGAGCCCGGCCAGGCCCTGCAGCACGGGAGTCCTGAACCCAGTGAGGGAAGAGCCTACCCCCTCCTTTGGCACCGTGCCCCCCAGGGTCCCGGGCTTTTAGGCAAATCAGATGAGGGGACTGGCTCGGCTGGTGGCCAGGGGCGGACAGGCTGAGCGCAGCTCTGCCCTGCCGCCTGGTCCGTGGGCCGCCCCTGTGCAGGCTGTCCGCGTGTGGCCGTGTGTCTGCAGCTGGTGTTGCCCCCAGCACCTGCCGGGGCAGCGCAGGGGCTGGGCTGGGTCACCCTGGTCTCCCTCCGAGTCCGGGTCCTTCAGACTCCTGGAGAGGCAGAGAGACCAAGATGGAATGGCGTGAGCAGAGCGTGGCAGGAAGGACACAGGGCCCAGGGGCACGGTGGCACATGACCAGTGAGGGAGGAGGTCAGCAGGGGGGGGGGCGCTTCCTGGAGGAAGTGCCAGGTGAAATGGGCCCTGCAGGGGTAGGGTCAGGCAGGCAAGGGGGGTGGACGTGTGTGTGTTTCTGTAGGGAGACCCGTGGAAGGTGCCAGAGGGAATCCCACCGTGACTTTCCTGCTCCACTTACTGTGTATTTTTAGTTCAGGCAACACATTTTCATTGTTCGAAATTCAAGAGACACAGAGTCTGCACCGTGCTAGTTTTCTGCCCACGCCCCTCCCTGACGCGTGCCTGGTCCCTGACGAACCCTTCCAGGGTGGCCTGCCTGTTCTCAGCGGTCACACGCAGGCCCACACGCGTGCGCCCCCCTTTCCACCCTGATGGTAGCGTGCTCCGCAGCCTGTCCTGCGCTCCGTGGTCTAAAATTTAATACGTCTTGCACAGGAGAGCACACTTTCTCATCCGCTTTTTGAACCGTGGCCTTGTTCTCCACTGTGTGGATCTTGCCAGCCCCCGGTCATTGGCCAGTTGCGTTGCTCCTGGTCTTTGCTACTCAGCTGGCCCTGCAGGGGCCGTGGGTGTCCAAACATGTCTTCACACACCCTTGGTGCTGTCCGCAGCACGTTCCTGGGGGGGACCTGCTGGGGCAAAGCAGAGAAGCGTTTGTCATTTGAGAGTCCTGGCCAACCCCACTCCCCCTCCCCGCACTTGGAGCTTGTGTGGTTGGCTCTCGCTGGCAGTGTGTGGGGGTCCCTGTTGCTCCCGCTCCCCGCCAACACCCACCCGATATGTTGACTCAATTCAGCATTTCCTTTCCGAGCCCCTGCGTGGGCCGGGTGTGGTTCGAAGCCACCAACAAGCCGGACGTGTGGGCGGAGAGGTGGGATTCAGTAAACGGGCGTTTGCTTCTCAATCTCGAGGGGCAGTCTGTGTCCTATCTTGCAGGTGCTCCCACCTGGGCAGGAGGGTGATGCATGTGCCCGAGTGACCTCAGGGCAGGGAAGCGGGATCTGGCCGTGGGGGCAGGAGGCTGATGAAGCCCTGGGGAGTTTGCGGGCCAAGGAGGAGCTGGGAAGGTGGCACTGGGCTGAGCCGTGACAGGCAACATGGTCCTGGAGCAGCAGGAGTGCCCAGCGGGGCCTCTGGAAGGGACCAGGGCTCCTGAGCTGCGCCAGTGCCCGCACTGTGCTCCCTGCAGACACCCGGCTCTCGGCCCCTCCAGGGGCGGAAGCCCGGCCGTGGCCCAGGAGGCAGAGGCCGGTGGGCAGGGGCCAGGGCAGAGGGCCCCACACAGCGGCCGGTGCCCTGGAGCAGCACAGCAAGGAGGGTGTGTGGGCCCCGAACTGGGGAACCTGCCTTCAAGTCCAGCTCCGCCATTCTCCAGCCGAGACTCTCGAAGGCTTGGGCTCCTCCTGTACGAAGGGGAACATCATCATCACAACCTCGTCCTGCCCCCCAGGAGCCCTGAGAGTGTCCCGTGCAGGCGCCCCACCGTGGCACAGAGCACCCCGTCCAGGTGAGTGTCCCTCTTTCTTTCCCCTCTAACGCTGGCGGGCAGGTGGCCCAGGAGCTAAGCACACACACCTGCCTGGGTTTGGGGCCCAGCCCGTCTCCCTGCCTCACCTCTCTGCCGCCAATTCTCATCTGTGAAATGGGGGTGCCACCTCCTAGGGTGGCTGTGGGGGGTGAGTGACACCAGGAGAGGCCCCAGGTCATGGTAAGAGCCATGGAAATGCTGCTCGCTATTCAATGTCTGCGCATGATGTGTGAAGACCGGAATGAAGAGGAACAAGGGCAGAGAGCGACCTGCTCAGCCCCTTCTGGCCCCCGTGTTCCTGGCTGGAAAGTGGCGCAAGAACAGCTCACAGAGCGTGTCCGCGGGAGGTGGAGGCTGAGTGCCGGACTCGCGGCTGTTCGTGGTGTTCGTGTTATTTTTAACGTACACTCCTTTGCATACAAGGCAGGCGCCCCCTTACTGCCTTCCAGGGAAAGGGTTCTCAAACACGGGAAGAAATTCCCATCGAGCCTGGAAAATAACTTCCTGCCGCTTCTTCCCTGTGAGTTCAGGTCTG